ATACACAGTGATTGTCTAATACACGCTTGCTGACTTATTAAAAAAAATTCAGTTATACAATCCTAGAGAAAAAAGGGGCCTTAAAAGCCATTTAATCTAACCCGCACCCCAAAAAGAATCCTCTCTATGTCTGTCCTTTGAATGAAAAAATCTACACCAATTCCCTAAGACAGACAGTTCTGTTTCTGGATAATTTGTCCATTATAGAATTTAAATTGTCTTGCTGCTTATATACATGTCTGCCCAACCCCACCACCAGTTTATATAATCTGCACGTCCATCTTCTCTGAGTGTGCGCGCACACACACGTATACAATAAAACACGTGTATGTATGTATGTAAAAAGCACTTCCTTAGATTTATAGTTTAATGATATGTAATGAGTTAATCTACCAAGACTTGTTCTTGATAAAAACCATGATAGTTCATAGTGAACAATGCTTTTCTAGATATTCCCTATTTTCTAGATTAATAATAACCATTATTAAATAATGTCCTAAAAAATTTTTTTAACCACAAATTGAAGTCAAGCTCATTTGCTTTCTCTTCCTTTTTTTTTTAAAATAAATTTGGATAAAACATACTCCTGTCCAGTTTTGCAGTACCTTTCCACTCTCTCATACAGATCCTTTTCACTGAATTTCCAAATACCAGGCAAATAAATTCTTAATAGGTATGCTCCATATTCCTGGGAACCTGTCATTCGTACATGTTACTATAACAGAAATATGAATCTTGTCCTCACATACTCTATTTGTTTAAGGAAATAATAATAAGCCAGTTGCTTATTTTCCAAATCTCCCTTTCTCTTTTGCTTGTGATGAGGTCTTTATCTTCTTGATCAAGAAATTGTTTAGTAATTGTTTAGCAATGCTTTCTTTGATTCCTTCTGGCAAAAACATTTTTTCCTGAAGAGAATCCTTAGAAATGGGCAATAGCATCTGGTCTTGGAAAGTTAGGTCTTCATATTCTTGATTGTGGTCAGAGGTGTTTTTAATCTTATTCAGTTTAAATATGTTTAGGACAATCAATTAGTCAATCAATCGATATTTATTAAGTGCCTACTATGTGCCAGATACTGTGCTGAGTGCCAGGGATACAAAAAAGAGGCAAAAGACAGTTTCTGCCCTGAAGAAGCTCAAAATCTAATGGGGAAGAGAATAAACAACTATGTACCAACAAGCTATCTACAGGAAAAACTGAACACTTGAGGGAAGGGACTAGAATAAATAGGGATTGGGGAAAGTTTCCTGTAGCAGTTGGGATTTTAGTTGGGACTTAAAGGAAGCCAGGAAAGTCAGTAGGAAGAGAAGGGAGAGCCTTCCTGGGATGAGGTACAGCCAGAGAAAACGTCCAGAGCCAAGAGGTGCAGCATTTTGTTTGTGAAACAGCCAGAAGAAAAAGCCCACACTTTGTGTCCCTGGATCGAATAATACTTGGCAGGGAATAAGGTTTAAGTAAGACTAGAAAAGTAAAAGAGGGTTAGGTCATAAAGTGCTGTGAAGGCCAAGGTGTTCTATTTGATCCTGGAGGTAACAGGAACCCACTGCAGTTTACTGCGTAGGGTGACAAAATGGTCAGGCCTGCTCCTTAGGAAAATCACTTTAGGGACTGAATGGAGGATGGAATGAAGTGGGAAACACTTGAGGCAAGTAGACTCACCAGAAGCCTATTGCAATAATCAAGGCATGAGGTGATGAGGGTCTGCACCAGGGTGATGTGAAAGCATTGTAGAGAAGGGGGAGATGTTTCAAAGGTGAAAATGACAGGCCTTGGCAACAGCTTGGATATGGGCTGTGAGAGATAGTGAGAAGTCCAGGATGACTCCTAGATTTTGAACCTGAGGGATTGGGAGGATGGTCTTGCCCTCTACAGGAGATTGCAGAATGGAGGTCAAAGAGACTGAGGCAGGAAAGGCAAATTTGAGAATCATCATCATAGAGATGGTAATTAAAATCCATGGAGCTGATGAGATCACACAGTGAACTAGAATAAAAGGAGAAGAGAAGGGAATTAAGGACACAGAACCCTGTGAGACACCCATATAATTAGAGGGAGAGGTCTAGATGAGGATCCAGTAAAGGAGATAGAGAAGATCAATCAGATGAATAGGAGAACTAGGAGAGTTGAATACTGCAATAATCTAGAGAGAAGAGATTATCAAGGTGAGGAGAGTAATTAACAGCATCAAAGACTGTAGAGAAATTGAGGAGAATGAGGTTTGGGAAAAGGTCTTTGGATTTGGCAAATAAGAAATCATTAGTAACTTTGGAGAGGGAGTTTCAGTGGAATAATAAAGTCAGAAGTCAGATTGTCAGGCACCTAATGCAGATGGGCTTTAGAAGGAGTTTAGCCACAAATGGTCAAGGAGATATAGGATGACAACAGAGATGGGAAAGAGATGGAATGAATGAGAGTTTTTTGGGATGGGGGAAGATACAGACATATTTGTAGGCAGTAGGGAATGAGCCAGTAGAGAGGGAGAGACTGAAAAGAGTGAGTGAGAATGACAGAGGGGGCAATCTGTTATCAAGGAGGGCTTTCTTTTGGGAATGAGAAGGCTCACTGTTGTAGGGTGAAGACTAAAGTAACTTGCAAAAGCAAGAAATAACAGTTACTAACTAGGAAACTGAGAACAGGAAGAACTGAAAAATTATATCCTTTTTACCTCCAAACAATCTATCCCTCCTCTATGCTGCAGCAATCCAACATGGTTCCTGGCAGTCTGGGCAAAACCCTTTCCCCTCATCCTCTTATTATTCCTTGTTATCGCCTACTCTTGCTCATCTCACCCACCTGTTTCCCAACCTGAATCCATACCAGGCTCTAGTTTTATTGTGTCCTCTGGAATCCCGGTCTGGCTACCAAGCTTCCTTTAATTCAGAAGTTCCCTCACCCTGCTTCTGTCATTTTGCACAAGCCACCCTCCCTCCTGCCCCTCTGTAGCATGTAGTTCACTCCCTGCCCCCAAACCTCCGCCCTCTCCATGCTGCCATCACTACTGAGTAGCCCTCTGTCCTTCTTTAAGGATAATTTCGTCTAGGGACATGACACTACTGAGATCCTGGGGGCAGTTAGGTACTAAGTATAGTGCCCAGCTCACAGTTTCCCTTTCCATCCCAATCCCTGCCCTAGTTCTACTTGTAGAATTAAATGTGCATGTTGATGTTCCTTCAGGGTGGTGGCCTCCCACTTTATCCGCTCCCAGGGCCTGTACTGTCAGTCCACCTTAGCTCTGCACAAACATGATCACAGCATTGTTGAAGGCAACAGCAACTTAAAACGTATAACGATGTATGGAAATGTGGGCTATTGCACGTCTATGATCTAGAACTCAGAACTTCATCTCAACACAACTTATTCTTAATCTCTGTGACTCTCTCTTCCCAAATCAAACAGCCATCTCTACTTAGAGATGCATCTAGACAGGCATCTCTACTTAAATTCAAGTATCCTCCTCTCACTCACTTCTCACCTCTTGCAGTCTGGCTTCTGACCTTACTACTTCACTGACACTATTCTTGGGAGGCTGATGACTTTGCTTGCTCAAAGTCTTTTCTCAATCATGATCCTTCTTTTCCTCCATGCAACTCTCTCTCTCTCTCTGGCAATTGGGTTTAAGTGACTTGCCCCGTGTCACACAGTGTCAAGTGTTTGGTCTGAGGCCAGATTTGAACTCAGGGCCTCCTGACTTCAAGGCTGGTACTCCATCCACTGTGCCACCTAGCTGCCCTTGGTCATTCTTTTTCAAAGGGACCAATGACAGACATCATGAGGGTGATGTCGTGACTTATTTTATGAGTGATTTTAAGTGAGGCAGTTTTGAGAAAACAACTGGTGATGGCCCGGGATGCAGCGGATGACCTGGGTGGGTGTCTACAATGTCTGACCAAGCTCTAAGTGTTTCACAGCACATGCTTCAGCTGCTTCCATGGCTGTTGGGACAAACAGTTCTCATCTGCCCATTCTGCTGGGGGAAGTCTTCACATGCTTAGGGTCAACATCCCCTAACTCACCAGTGGCTTTGAGGCCTGTTGGTTACCCTCAACCTGGTTTAGCCCATTTGCTGAAATGGTTATTCTGGCGTACGGCTACTGCATATGCTATAGCTTCTTGGAACCACAGGTGAGAATATGAGTTTAATAAGTGCTTAATTATTTGAACCTCAATAAATCCTGTATAATTAAATTTGATAGTGTTAAAATCATTAAAATGGGATTCTATTTGTACATATTTTCAAGTATACTCACTTTAAAATCTCTCAATACCAGTTTCCATAAATTTTCAGTGAGAAAGCTAAAAACTACTGCAGAATGTGTGAATAGTTTTATAATGCCTTACTGTGCTTTAGGTAAAATGTTGTGCATATAATGTTTAGTATTGAACTTAATTGTCAAACAAGCAGCATATTCCTGGTAGACATTTATATTTGATTAAAGTCCCAATAAAGATGCAAATTAGGAAACTCCTGACACAATGCTAATTCTCAATATCGCTATGAACAATATATATTTTGCTAGAAGCCCTGTTGAATGAGTCATGGTCTCTGAAAAACCAAAAGATTTAAAAAGTACAAGTCAGGAGTGAACAGAACTGCCATAACTCTCCCTTGCTGACAAAAGGTAATGCCTGACAACCAAAATACTTCACCAGGATTGATGCAAGAGAGAAGAAGCTCCTTTTTGTATCTCCAGTGCCTGCCATAGTGCCCAGCACACAAGAAGTAACTAAAACACCTGTTGTTTGCTTACCTGACATCTGAGAATCAAGACCTTAAAATCTTAATTAATGGGATGAAATCACAACAGTACAGAAAGAAAAAGGCTAGTAGGTTGTTTTCTGAGTTTTTTTCTTTTTCTATTTCTTCTACAAAAGTACCACACCAAAGGAGTTATTCACAAGTTGATTTGTATGTGCTAACAACTTTAGAATACTAAAAATTTTTTTTTAAAAATACGTTTTTACAATTCAAGGTTTGGAGAGAAGCTACTTTATTTTACCTTTGTAAATCAATTTGCCTCTCTGCTGGTGCTGCTTTTTTGGCTACGTCTTGTAGTTTGGGTGCTTTGGCGTTGCCTGCCTCCGGCCCCCCTGGGCTCTCCTGACCAACTGCGGCCCTCTTTCTTCCCCTCCCAGCTGATTTATTGGCTTCCTCATTTTTTGTTGCACTGCCCTGAGATTCGGACTTGGGCCGACGTCCTCGTCTGGCCTTGGGAGGGGCAGGTGGTCCTGTCTCATCTGCCTTCTTCTCTTCAGTTTTCTGCTGGATATTCTCTGCTCCAGATGCTGTTGCTGTCCTCTTCTTTCCTCGGTCAGCACTAATGTTTCCCTGAGTAGCCTGATCAGAGTTAATCTCCTACAAGAGTCCAAATAAAATCCAGTGAACATATACATTTGTCACGTAGTAATCATCCATATCTGAAAGCTATTGAAAAGAAAATTTTAAAGCAGATGAAGAAAATAGTGGGGATCGGTGGGTAGGAAGAAGAAATGGAAAATCACATTTTTCCATAAAAATGACTCTACCTGCAGTAGGAGTCCTAAGTACAATGTATTCAAAGTAAAATGTACTGACTTTTTTCCCCTCAGGTATAACATTTTATCTTATTATATAAGAATAGAATTTGTTAAATCTTATGGACCCTGGTTCTGAAAAGATAAAGATGAATGATACCAATATCAGACCAATTAAGATAATTATAGCTGAAAATTACCAGTATATCATTGTTCTATCAGGTACCCCTTTCACTCTTAAAAACATGAACAATTATTTAGCACTGACTGAAAATGGTAAAATTGTAAAAAAACCAAAAACCCAACAATACAAAACATATAGAACACTGAAAATGTTGCTGATGAGCTCTAGAAGATTCCTCACACAACACAGTATTCCATCTATGAATCTGGACTTTGTCAATTTCTGCACACGTGGCATATGTGCAATGCAATACAGGCACCTACTTCACTATTTCATCCATGAACTGAAATGTACTAAATAGATGAGCTGTTTCCTATGTCTGTGTGTTCTGCTCACAGATGTGCCAGTAAAAAAAAATTCAGTTTAAAAATTGATAAATGAAGAAGGTAACTGAATCACAATTTTATAAGATTCACTATAAGAATCATTTAAACGTGAAAATTCAGTAATTCATTTAAATGGTTGTTAAAAACACTCTGACACAGTATTGTAGTTAGATATACAGCACTGAAAAGCTTGATTAGAAACAACAGTAAACTAAAGATCAATAGGAAATGAAGATAAATCAAAAATATAATATTTAAAAATCAGGTGAATTAAAAAATATCCAGTTTATAAAATTTTGCTTACAAACAATTGAAGGGGAATACTTGTAACATATAAAAAGCAAGATATAATGGTATTTTTACAATCACAGAATTCTGTAGCTGAAAGAAGATGAATCATCATTGGTCTATGGGGCTTAAATAGTTCTGATCTACTCATTTTACATAAATGGCTCTTTTGAGGTTAATGGCATACTCAGGACTACAACTTAGATGTGATTTCTAGTCCAGTATTTTTTTTCAGGGGGAGGATTATTGTATGGGAAGCAAGTGATACAGAATTTTACATTAAAGGTGTATTCTGAGGTGTTATGTGTAAGTTGAATCCTATTTTCTCACTGAAATGCATAACTTTTTTTTGAATTTTAAATTTATTTATGCTTGTGGTTTAAATAATGAAATAAATTGAAACTTTTTTTATGACAATGGTTTAAAAAGTCTTTGTCAAGGTAGACTTTCTGAATAATGCTTTTCAAATCTATTTAAAAAACCCCAAAGTATAAAATACAAAATTTCAATAAAGCCCCAGTTTTATAGATAAGACCTATTAGAACTTTATATTAATTTTAAATTCTCTAAATAGTTGATTTTCCTCTCCAAAACTATGGGATTCAAAATTCTGAAATTCACAAGTCAGAGGGCATTTTTTAGAGCAAGAGAACTTAAAATATAGATGTCTGAGGCTAAGTGGTATGCTTGGTCACATGGCTAGCAAATAGATGAGAAATATTTCAAACTCAGCTGGCACTGATTCCAAGTGCAAACTATACTAAGTTAGTTGGACAGCATTTTGTTTAAAATTTGAATTGATATTGACTAATGACACTGGTCGGTGTTTTATCTTTCCTTGGTTTAGGTGTTAGGTCTCTATCTTACAAAAGGATTCTGGTAGGGTGCTTTCTCAATTTAAGAATAATTTGTGTAGTATGAATACCAACTGTTCTTTGACAGAATTCTCCTATGAATCCATTAGGATTCACTTTTTTTTTGGCAGTTGTTTTATAGTTAGTTCTATTTCCTTTTCTGAGAATGGGTAATTTAAGATCTCTATCTGGTCTTCTGTCAGTTTGGGTATTTTTGAAGGTATTTGCCTATTTCTTTTGGATTCTCGGTTTTCTTAGTCTATAACTGTGCTTAACAGATTTTGATTATTCTTTTTTATTACAGAATAAAAATGAAGGGCTGAAAAAATTTTTACTATGCTTAAAATGAATTCAAAGAAGCAGGAGCTGTAATATATTCTCATGACTGCTAAAAATGTGTCATTTACTCTTCATGTATTTACATCACCTTTCTATTTCGTATTGACAATGTTTAGTTGGATACCTACAGGAAGTGTCTGTTTCTGCTTACAGTGTATAAGGAAAACTGTATTCACTTTGCTACTCTTGTAAAACAGGCATAATAGTCTGAAGTATTTAGCTGTTAAAACAAAGAAAAACAAAAAACAGACAAATTTGAAAAGTAGGCAAAAAAAAGTGACTTTGAACAAAAAACAAAATAAGAATTCCAAAACTGCACCCAAGAAGCTGGGGTTTAGCTAGAAAACTTTCAAAAATGAGGCAATAGAGGGGCAGTTAGGTAGCACAGTGGATAGAGCACTGGCCCTGAAATCAGGAGGACCTGAGTTCAAATGTGGCCTCAGACCAAATATTTGTCATGATACAAGCTGTGTGACCCTGGGCCAATCACTTAACCCCAATTGCCTAAAAAAAAAAAATTAAAAATTAAATAAGAAAAATGAGGCAACAGTTAGCTGCTCTTACTTCTTGTGGGGAACTAGGGAAGAGGAGTAGCTGGGGAACTGCCCCAACACTAATGAAGTGGGAAATCTTTACTAGCAACTTTCACATAGTGTGACAATGGATCCTGTGCCTAGGTCTGCACTAAAATTCTTCAGAAGAGAGTGACAAATGGATACATGGTTACCTTGTTTTTTACAGGCTCAGCCTTTACTGGTGTGACTGAGATGATCCTCACAGGGTTCTCCTCATTTTCACTAACTCCCGTTTCTGAAGCTTCTGAATTTGGTTCCCTGTTAAAGAGAATTAACTAAGAAAACTTTACCACATATAAGTAGAGCAAAGTGAGCAGTGCAGATACTAAAAAAATATTACTATCAATGGTCTAACATATATTTTAACACATTATATTAGCAAACAAAAATTCAGACACAGAATTTTGGAGTCTGAAGATTTCAGAAATCACACAGTGTGACCCCTGGCGTTTTACAAATAAGGATGTGGAAACCCAAAGGTGTTAAGTGACTCCTTAGCGCCAAAGTTGGAACTATAATCCCAGTAGTCTGATTTTCAGTCCAATGTACTTTAGACTACAGTGAGCAAAAGATTCATATTTTGTTTCACCTCAAAAGGCATAAACATGAATATCTCAAAATTTCTAATAATAAAAAAATCAGCAAACATTTATTAAGGGTTTACTATGTACCAGGCATTGTACCAAGGGCTAGATAATAATGACTAGATAAAAATTATAAGACAAAAAGTATTAATGAAAAGACATTTCCAAAATCCAGGTTTTGTATCTTAAAAAAACAACTATTTGTTTTATCACCCAAAAGAAGGAGATATCCTATCTGATAAAGTACTCATATTTACGAACAAAAGCATTAAAAGGTATACATCTTAGCCTGTTACTATTGTGTTAAGCATTTTCAATGGAAACTCAAACTCAGCATTTAAAAAGTGAGTAGTATTATCAACATTTACTTTAGGGTTAAGTATTTTTATACATACAATAAGTGTATCATTTAATCCCTAGCTTTTTTAATCTATATTTTTCTTTTACACTTAAGTTAATGTTTCAATAGAAAGAAAGTTATCTTATGTACTTTATAATGTAACCAGATTTAGCATTCTTATAAAATAAATGGGGATAGATGATCTCAATGCAAACAATGACATTTTTAGGAATCTATGCACTGAATACATGCTCTTTTGATTGATCTTATACACTATGAACATTATAATTACTGTTGTGAAGTTCAATTACCTGAGACTGATACATCTGAAATCAAGTTTCTACTCATTTTCTGTTAGAGACAATGCCTTCATTACATATAAATGTTTCACACTGTATACACTGTATAAAAGTAGCATCTATGCTGTTTCTCCCCCTTTATTACTATTTCACACAAGCACGTTTCCTGAAGGCAAAAGAACATTATTTAATATAGTGCTCTCAGAATAAATCAAGAGATGAAAAAAGTCAACGGAAGAAACAAAATAATTAGGAGGAAATTGCCTTGATCGATTTCCTGTTGAGGGGTTCAGCTCTGAGTTTACATTAATATTGCTTCCAGGCTCTGTTCCTGTGCTTCTGACATATGGTTTCCTTCCTGTTGCTGATAAAGGCTTGTTTACAGCACCTAGTACTCCAGCAGGTTTTGGCTAAAATGTACAAACAAATACATATTATTTTACTAAAAAGAATAGATATGTGTTCAGATAATACTTTAAAAAGTCAAATGATTATTTCTACTTTAGAATAAATGTAATCAATAATTCTGAAAAAACTATAATTTTCTGTTATACTTGAGTAAAGTGGGTAACCATGAAAAAAAAATTACTGTTGCTGTAATAAACAAGTTGAAGCTATATAAACATTGCTGTCAACTATGAAAATTTAACTTATTCTAACAGTCCAATTTTCATTCTTACATTATCATAAAATGATGCTCAGTATTAGAATTTTAAATTCCACCTTGACATTTACAAATATACTTTCAGGTACTTTGTAGGGACAGTAAATATGTTAGATATTTGAGAAACAAAGAACTAATATAATCTGAAAATACCTTTCCTGTTAATAGGAGAACTCTTGTCTCTTCAGAAATATAACTCCTGTCATTACAGAAATCCTATTAAAAAAACAGTAATAAAAGTTAATATCTACTTTAATCAATTAATTTTGTTGTTAGCCTTTTATTAAAACTTTATTTTGCCAGTTAATTATATTTTTTGCTAAGAGACCTAACATACATTATATAAATGACCTAAATCATCAACAAGCATTTACTATATGCCTCAAATTATGGTAGCGATCTGTGGAACTTGATGATTTATATTTATAATTGTCAGAATTTCCTAAATACCTTTACAATATTTTCTTTCTTATTTTCTAACCCTTCACAAATCTGTATCCATAATGGCCTTCAAGACTGTTTCAAAATGGCTAAACAAGTTGTGGTATAGGAATATAATGGAATACTCTTGTGCAATAAGAAACGATGAGAAGGCAGACTTCAGAAAAACCTGGAATGACTTGTATGGACTGATGCTGAGTGAAGTGAGCAGAACCATGAGAACGTTGTATACAGTAACAGCCACGTTGTGTGATGACTAATGTTGACAGACTTAGCCTTTCTCAGCAATGCAAGGATCTAAGACAATTCCAAAAGATTCATGATGGAATATGCTATCCACATCCAGAGAAAGAACTATGGAGTTTGAATGCAGATTGAAGCATACTATTTGCCCCCCCCCCTTCTGTTTTGTTTTGTTTCCTCTTTTTGGTGGTTCCTCCTATTGGTTCTAATTCTTCCTTACAATGTCACTCATGTGAAAATATGTTTAATAGGAATGTATATGTATAGCCTATATCAGATTGCATGCCGTTTTGGGGAGGCAGGGGGAGAAAAATTTAAAACTCAAAAGCTTATGGAAGTGATTGCTGATAAAACAAAATAAATTAATAGAAAAAAAAAGACTTTCAAGAATTACTTCCTCCAAGATGTCTTCCCTAAAGTTAATACCCTCACCATTCTTTCTTAATGTTTTCTCAGCACTTAAAAACTTTTTGCTTTCTACAACCTCCTCTTATAACCACTGTAATCCTTTGTAGTCTTTCTTTACTTTTTACTATAAAGTCTTCTTTCTTTTTTGCTTATTGTGTGAACATCCCATTGGCTATCATCAATTTTGCCCTTAAGGAAAATATTTAGTCTAAGAAACCAATCTATTTTAAGTGACACACTTGCTTTATTTTGCTATAAAATGTTACTAATTTATATCAAGTATTCAACTGTAGTGTAATACTTTATAATTACCAAATTATATTGTTCTTGTTAAATGCTGGTATTTTTCAACAAAGAAAACAAATGAATGCTATGCACCAGAAAACTGAAGGTCTTTGAATGCCATCTAAAAACTATTAAAAAGAAATCAAATTTGGTTTTATGCTAACACTTTCTCAGTTTAATATCATGGAGAAATGTAGAGAAATAGAAGACTAAGTTAAAATGTCAGCAGAATAAACATCTCACTCATCTTTATCTAGCAACTTTAACCATCTGCAAGTAAGAATGAAGAAAAAAGAGGAGAGGGAGAAATGGCCACGGAAATTTAAAAAACAAAAAAAAAAGGGTAACCTGAACTAAAGTTTAAAGTAAAGGGAAAAAAGACATGGAAGACCTTCCCAAGAGACTTAGGTCTAATCTTAACTCAAACACAACACACTTGTTTATCTGGCTTTCCAATCCACAGACTGGAAGCAGCAAGTTAAAAGCTTGTTTGGGCGCTGTGGAGCGAGGCATGCTGAAAGCAAGTACTCACAGAGCTGACAGGGAACAACACAGAAAAAACTTTAACCAGAACTAAAAAAAGGGCAAGAGTCTGAGGTAACCTCGTGGAGGGGGAAACAGCATGGTATAATTTATAGGCTTGAAGTCACTGCTATGTTATGGTATCAGTGAACAATGATTGATTTTCGTATTGAGAACCCTGTGTTCTTAATGAAATATTACAATATGCTATATCTTCTGTTAAGAAATCAAGGAAGAGCATAATTAAAAATCTTTTCCAACTGAAGTGAAATAAATAAATTAAAAAAAAAAAAGCTTTGTATCTGTGAATGGGCAGAACCAGTCTAGAAAGTGATTTGGAATTAAAATTCACAAAAAGTTACTAAATAGTATCTGTACTGTTGGACCCAGCTATATCATTGTTAGGTCTATACTCAAAAGAAAGAAAAGAAGTTGGAAAAGGTCCTATATGTATGCAATTATTTATAAGCATTTTTTTTTTGTAGTAGCAAAAAAATGGAAACTAAGGCGATGCCTATCAAGTGGCACATGAATGTGATGGAATACTATTGTGCTATAAGAAATAGATAAGATATGGAAAAACATAAACTGATACAAAGTGAAGTAAGCAGAAATAGAATTATTTATACTATAATATCAGTATTCTAAAAATGAAAACATTTTAAGATTTTTATAAGCTGATTAAAAATGAAATGAGCAAAATCAGAAAAACAATTTATACAATAACAACAACATTGTAAAGGCAACTTTTATAACTCTTACAGCAACAGCTGTAAGAACTATGATCAATACAAGCTATTCATAATTCCAGAGTACTGATGATGAAACATACTATTTATTATAGAGAGGTGATACATTTAGGGTGCAGAACTGAGACATATTTTTGTATCAGCCATTGAAGAAATATACTTCGCTTGACTGTGTATTTGTTATAAGAAATTTATCTTCCCCCCCTAATGAGATGGATAATGGGAGGGAGACTACAAAAATTTCAGTTAATTTTTTAAAAACAGAGAGGTAAGCAGGGGGGTTGTAGAGATGTGAAATGTGGCATGGGCTTTCAACTGAGATCACTGTATTATTAGTTTTAATTAAAAATTTTACTTTGTTACAGGAGACTTCATGAAGTGTAGTAATCTGCAAATGTGTGTAATGTAAAAACAAAATCTATCAATAAAACTGGAAAAAAAAACTTTGGCATGTAAATGGGATAATCTTCAGTCATCTGAAAATTTTACACATAAAGAACATTAATTCTATTATAGTGGTGGGATATTATGAATTAATGTTTTATTTCATTAGTATATTGCTATTTTCTTTTTATTTCTCTTTCTTGGCAGCAAAAATATTAGTCAACTATAGCTGGACAATTCAACAGAATATGAAAAGTATAAAAGCCATCCTGTAAGATTTACACTTTAGGGACAGCTAGATGGCGCAGTGGATAAAGCACTGGCCTTGGAGTCAGGGGTTCAAATGTGACCTCAGACACTTCACACTTCCAAGTTGTGTGACTCTGGGCAAGTCACTTAACCCCAACTGCCTCAGCCCCCAAATTTACACTTTAGGGAAAAAAAACAAGTCTCTCATCAAAAACATCTATTTCTTACTCTGAATTAATCTCAACTCTTATCTTTTCAAACTGTGTGGCATATCAACATGCTTTGCAAGAAATGCCACAGAGAAAAAAAAATCTGCCCATGGATTAATTTTAAAAGGAAATTCCTCTGAAAGCTTTTAGTCTAACTTCTGATCCCTAGTGCAAGAGAAGTGAGTTGAAACTAAGTTAAATTTAAGTCAATTCAGTAGGTAGGAAGAACTTACTTTTTCAGGCTGAGTGAAAAATTTGGTTGGGAGGACCGGGTCCTTTGGTGAGTCTGCATTGCATAAAGCACTTTTACTGTTTATAACACAAAGTGCAACATCGCACACTGTGTAAAGTTTCTGAGGGAAAAAAAAACCACGTAAAAAGATTTTCATGAGAGTACAAAATATACCAGTACCACCCCAATAACAATAAGTAACAATTCATATTAAACTTACGTAGTTACTGATTGAACATATAAGGCCTAAAATAGTTTTTGTTGCTACGTTAGCATATTTTCTTTCTGAAGTAGTCTTCTAGTATGTTTAAATGCTGTCTTATAATTTATAATAATCGCCATTTTTATAGCTTATAATTGATGTCTATAAGCCACTGAAGACAAGAAAGCTATATCTGATTGATCTGTGTTCTTACCAAAGATTTGGGGCCTCACACTTATGAGGTGGTATTTAACCTAGTGCTTCCCCTGAAATAAAGAGAATACTTTGTTTTTCTTCCCCACAGCACTAAGGAATCCAGTAAAGCTACAATAAATCAAGTAAAGCAAGAAAACCCGCCATCCTAGCTTTCAATCACATTCTCCAAATCAGAGTTGTTGATTTAATTGAAAGGAAAAAGATGAGTCAGTGGCCACAGAAAAACAGAATGGTCTCTCTTTGTAAAATAATAAAGCACCCAACAGATCATACTTCATTAGTCTTAGGCTCATCAGGAGACTGGGCATCTCTGGTTAACTTGATGTTTTCTGCCATCTTCTTCATAAAGGCATGGCTGTTATTCTCATTCTTTGTCATTAAAACTTCAAGCATGAACCACAGGCACCTTGAATAATTTTACATATATACACATGTAAGATGTAGGTTGACATGGATTGATACACACATACACACATCAGAGGCACTGTGCCCATACAGCCTTAATTGAAACATATTATGACAAAATTCCGCAGATTGAGATCTAATTTCCCACTTACCTTTTTTGTATAAGTCAGAGAGAGATTATTTTAGAAAACACACCTAATTCTTGAATATAAGAAAATACATAAAATTTTTACTAAGTAAAAAAAACAAGGGAAAAATAATTTTCTGAATATGATATTGTTCAAAAAAAAGTAGAACTTATCATCCTTTCCCCCACACTCATCCATTCTTCCAAACTACTCTATAAAAGGCATCACCATTTTTTTAGTCCCCTGCCTCAGGTTGGCAACATTAGCATTACCCTGAATTCTTCTCTCTCTCTCTGTATAGTGAATCACTTGCAAAATCCGCCATTTCTACTTTCATTATTTCTCTCTGATATAGGCCCTTATCAATTCTTACTTAAATTATTACAAGGGCCCCCTAATCTTTCTCCTTCCTATATGTCTCTTCCATCTCCAGTTGATAAACCATACTCTTGCCAAAATAACTTTTCTTGAGTGCATATCTGACCATGTCAGGTGCCAATGAACTCTGTCCTCTAGAAGCAAATATAAACTCCTCTGTTTACCTTTGAAAGACCTTCATAACCTGCTCCTAGCCTCACTGGACTCAACCGTCTCCCACCCTCTATGATCTAGCTAAACTGGCCTTCTCTCTGCTCCTTACATTCCATCTCTATTATCTATCCTATTAATAATTCCCTTCTCACCTGTGCCTTGGAGAATCCCTTTCTGTAAGACGCAGCTCATAAAAAACGTATTACATGAAGCCATTGCTGATAAAAATTGCTTGAGCCTTCCCTCTCAAATTACCTTTGTATTTAACTACTTTATATTAATTTGTATTTATTCTGCATGTATTTATAGACACACTTGTCCTCTTCATTACAATGTCAACTCCTTTTGAGTAGAGATTGTTTATTCCACTGTATCTACAGGACTACAGCACCTGGCAGAGTAGTCGATGCTTAATAAATGCTTGATTGCTTATATTCAAGTAGAAAATGAAAATGATAAAGCTGAAGATATAGTTAAAATATTCCAGTTATCAAAATTTTCTGATGACCTGTCACCCACAGCATACCTCTTACCTTTTCTATGGCAATAGTAGCCAACTCTAAAGCTTTAATAGTTTAGCTTAGTTTTTATTTGCTTCAAATCTCTATAATGCTGCTAAATTCTCACCCTAAAATCTTAAACTTAGAAATAATTAGCTCATCTCTGGAAATGTTATTGGTGCCTTTTCAAATATCTTTATTCGAGAAACAAATGCATTTTGTTTAGAGTCTTCAAAGAGGAGCTAATAGCCTAAAACAAAGAATTGAAATGTTCAGCTTAGCTAGAAAACTAAGGATTCCTTAAGAATTTCACTAAGTTGGGGGCAGCTAGGTGGCACAGTGAATAGAGCACCCACCCTGAAGTCAGGAGGACCTGAGTTCAAATCCGGCCTCGGACCAAACACTTGGTGCTTACTAGCTGTGTGACCCTGGGCAAGTCACTTAACCATAACTGCCTTAAAAAGACATTGTTAACTAACTTACATGGAACAGTACTGATAAGTATTCAATAAATAATTTACTGACATGTAGTTACATAATAGGTGCTTCTGAAAATAGCTTATATATATAAACATGTAACTTTATTAATCATTGTCTACTGAATATTAAACATAAATTATAATCACAATTGTTATTATATGAGCTTTTAACTCAAAAGCACCTCCTCACCTTTACTCTCTGTTCCCTATGTCTGGAATTTTTTTTCTCTATCTCCATCAGTTGAACTTCTACCAGTTTTGAAGTACAGCAACTATTACCTTCTCCAATGCCCTCTATTAAAAAGAGGCATTAAAAGGGGCACCTAGGTGACGCAGTGTATCGATAGAGCTCTGGCTTTGGAGTCAGGAGGACCTGAGTCCAAATTCGGCCTCCAACACTTGACACTTACTAGCTGTATGACCCTGGGTAAGTCATTTAACCCCAACTGCTTCACCAAAAAAGCAAACCCCCCCCCCAAAAAAAACACTGTACACAGTAACAGCCACGTTGTGGTGTGATGACTAGGTATGATACACTTAGCCCTTCTCAGCAATGCAGAGATCTAAGACACCTTCAAAAGTCTCATGATGGAAAATGCTATCCACATCCAGAGAATGAACTATGGAGAGTCTGAATGCAAATTGAAACATACTATTTGCTCTTTTAATAGGAATGTGTATGTAGAGCTTATATCAGATTGCACACTCTCTTGGGGAGGGAAGTGTGGAGGGAGGGGGAGAAAATTTAAATCTTAAAAGCTTATGGAAGTGATTGTTGAAAACTAAAAATAATTAACAAAAAGAAGAAAATATTAATAATAAATAATAAAGTAAAAAAAACCCAGCTACAGATATGCACATAGATGACTAAGGACAATAAGGTATGATCTGAGAATAAGAAAAAGGCTCAAGGTTCCAGGGACATTCTAAAAAGGTCAAGAGAAATAGATATTATTGGAAGTGACTCAAAGGTAGGGAACCTGTAGCTTCCAGGTTCTCAAGTGCAGCCTTCTGACCAAATTCAAACTTCACAGAACAAATCCTTTTGTTAAGATCCTAATCAGGATGAGACTGCTGAAATAATTTTGGTAACTAAAACTGGGTAGGGAATCATGACAATTAAATATTCAATAATTTTGAAAAAGTATATTGATATAATTTTCTTGAAGCAACTGAAATTATGTGCTGGGTGAGAAGTAGATACTTCAAAGTATCTAGACAGAAAAGTCTAAAGAAAAGAATTCAAAAGAAAAAACTGGAAATAAGAAAAAAAGGAAAAAAAGCTGCTTCAAAAATCATATTGGGGGGGCAGCTAGGTGGTGCAGTGGATAGAACATCAGCCCTAGAGTCAGGAGGACCTGAGTTCAAATCCGACCCCAGACACTTGCCACTTACTAGCTGTGTGACCCTGGGCAAGTTACTTAACCCTACTGTCTAGCAAAAAAGAAAAGAAAAAAAATCATATGTGATCCTAATTGGTATGCTTAATAGCAGAGAGGCAGAAAAAACTCCTAACACAAATGACCAAAAATAAATAATTCAGGATAATAATAGCTTGCATTTATATAAGGCTTTAAGGTTTTCAAAGTGCTTTATATACGTTCTTTCATCTGATTCTCACAACAAACCCAATTTATTTAAAATTAGCAAATTATTTTAATTTTAAAACAGTAAGGAAGCTAGTTGGTAGGGAATGACAAGTACTTTCCATTAACCACTGTTTTGGATAAGCTGATACAAACTTTTAAAGGTTTTAATATTTTGGTAAATAAATAAAAGTATAAAAAGACTCTGTAAAAGAATGGCAACCTTTGGAACATGTCACATCTTTTTGAGGACTTTTTTTTCTTAACTTAGAATTCTTGAAGAGAATAGCACTTACTCTTTGATATCACGAAGTTGATCAACATCTTGAGGTTTTGTAAAATCTGGGTCATGTGCCAGCAAGTGAATCATATATGGAACTACATATTCAGGCAGCAGGGATAAGAGCTTTTCTAAAATGAAAATAATAAAACTATAAAAGCTGTTTTTATATACCTCTTCTTTCTTTGTAATCCTAAGCATTTCTGTGTTCATTTCCAGATTAGATATGATATCATGTCAAGGAGAATAATGGGAAGATATTATTTCCATTTTGTAGTGAAGGAAATGAACGCTAGTATGCCTATACAGATTTTTCCAAGGTCTCAAAACAGGTTAGTGGGATAGTTATGAAAAAAAGGTAGGTTCTAGACTTCTTGTCCTACACTTCAAGCTCTACCCTTATTATTTATATGAAAGGAAAATGAAAAGCTAAAAAAAAATTATGTATATATACATAGCGTTGTTACAATTAAGATTTGGTAGTCAGAATTTTAGTTATATTTAGGGAATATAAAGCGTAGTTTTAAGTACACTCTATCTAAAATTATGGCACATTTTCAGAAAATATTGAAGCCTATTGTAAGATAAATTTTTCTCCCCAAATGTTGTTAAATTGGTAAGATTGTTGAAAACAAAAAATAATTAATTAAAATCAATCCTAAGAGACCAAAAAAACCAAATATGAAATGCTGTGAAAAAGAGAAAGAATGCAGCTTGACATTTTTAAAACAATGAAAATAAAGCCTTCAAAAATTATGCTTCAGATAGCCATTAGCGTCATTACTAACCAGTAGCCATGGGGTTCTGTTTAATGTACTCCCTTCGTATGCTGATGTTCTTCAGCAAACACTGTCGGGCATGGGCTCTTCTCTCTTTCACAGGATCTTTGGCACACAAGGCAAAGATTGCCATGTACTCCAATGGGAGTAGTAACTTCACAAGAGCCTTGTGCAGCTTTTGAGCAAATATCTGCCTCACTTGGTAGCACTCATCCTGTAAGGAAATCAAAACAAACAACAACAAAAAAATCACACAAACATATTAAAAAAACCCAATTAGGATGAAATACTAATGCATTTGAATGCTAAAAGAAAATTCTCTAGAGTTAAAATGATCAATCACGATAAATTAGCTTTAAGTGATTTATCTTTTCACTTACCAAATGGAAGAAAATGTACTTTTCAGCTATTTGTAGGAATGTCTAATTGGGTCAGGCTATAATATACAATAATCAGTTTTTGTAATACATTCCAACTCAATTGTGTAATTTATTTCTTAATACTGTCATTTCATTGTTACTTACATTAATTACAAGTGCACAGAGCTGGAACTGTTCTGGTGTAATAATTTCATGGTAACAAGGCTCCTGGGCAAGCTTCATTATGGCACTACCAGCAGCCAGTCGCAAACGAGACATATCAGATTTACTATAAATGAATAAAGAACAAAAAAATAAAAAATGAGAAACCTATTTTTTCTTTTAAAGCACTTTTCCTTGTGGAAAATTTCTATTGTAAAGTAACTCATCCAGTGCTGTTCATCCAATGTGAAGGACATGAGGTGTTCAGGCCTTGCTTTAGTTGACACCTGCTACTAACTTCACTTCTAGTTATGTTGTCTTGGATCTTCCTCTACAGCCAAGAAAACCTGTTTTCTGTAAAGAGCTTCAAATCTGTAGACTTTTTACATCCAGTTTCTAGTTTTTTCAAGTGTATTCTTCTGCTAGAATAACCTCTAACTTGGCCAAAAATGCAATTCCTTCCCAAAGCCTCCAATCTACTTTTTATAGAACCACCAGCTCCTGTCTTTCAGCATTTGCTGTATCAATATTTAATCACATGAATAAATTGCGCTAAATGGTTACTGTTGATGAACATGGGAGATAGTATGCTTCATTACATTTGTTGTGTCTTCTACATGTTAGTTCCTCACTAGGAATGTTCTTATTCTTAGCTATCCAGTTACATGGCAGTTAAATAAATATGAAAGGGCAGCAAAGTATTAGGCTTGATGATGTTTTCTTCCTTAAAAACTTAAATGGAACCACAATCTTATTGATGTAGTCGTCAATGAAAACTTCATTGTAGGCATATTTTCTCACGGGTGACTCTTGCCCATGTCTTTCCATAAATTATCTACAAAAGAACCACCTCACTGATCCACTAAAGTTTTGCATTACACGGTGTCCACTGCAATAGCTGAACTTTCAATTTATTATATCTAGCTCTTACTACAAGCATGGCTCACCTCCATTTCATACATTTCCTGGATAATCTTCTACAAAACTTCTTGGACACCTGTCATTACTGTAACGATATATTTAAGTTGTAACTTATTTACTAATGATATCTAGGTTACCCTTTGTGTCTTAGCAATTGTGTGTGTGTGTTTTTTTAAAGGGTGTGGTGTTCTATAATTCTCAATCACGGAGCATTACTGTGACAAGGGTGCTTTGCCATGATTAAGAAATTTAGTCCCTCCTTGCCTGCCTAACATCATAAGCTTCTCCACACGTAGAAGCTGGTACTTGAGAACTTGTAACAGTTTGTTACTTAATCCATCCTTTAAAACCTTTCCAGCATGGTATTGCCTCAAGAGTTTGTGCTTTGTTGGCATATCCTTTGAGAACTTAGGACAACTCCATAGGTTTCTGTTTCAAGAACAGCTCAGGATCACTGAATGTGCTAATCACTTCATGAAAACACTCAACCTAGCTATTTTTCACCACCTCAACTTGGGGGCCAGGTCAGTATCCATCTTCAGTTGCTACAATAAATGTATGCTGATAGGCTATTTTAATGGTCTATACATCTGACTGTGTTCCAATCAAGAAAAAAGACATTTCTGCTTTCCCATGTAGATTGTTAGGCTGAACTCTTCTGAATGATTATATATCTGCTTTCTGAGATCAAGTGCTACAATGGTATCCTCAAACTACCAAAAAATGCAGTTAACAATTCTTTATTGAATTGGTTGTATCCTGTGTGGATGATAATCATAGGGGACAGGAAGTCATGGAAAGGTTATGACCTTCACAGGTAGAGGCTACAGTCACACTGCTAAGGGCTTTGATGTCAAAAGGAGGAGTTGAGTTTGTATTTGATTTAGAGGTAACAGGGAACCATTGGAACATAATGAGCAGTAGAGTAGCATGGTCAGACCTGTACTTTAAGAACGTCAGTTTGGAAGCTATGTGGAAGATGGACTGGATAAGAAAGATTTGGTGACGGGGAAACCAATTAAGATTTCCTTAACTGTAGAAATACAGGTGAAATGTGATAAGGTCCTGAATTAGTGCAGTTGGGGTATGAGTGGAATGGAGGAAGAATGTGAGAGGGGCTGTGGAGACAGAATAATACTTGGTAACTCACTGGATATGTAGAGTGAAATAGATTGAAGAGTTAACCTTGATTGCAAGGATAGGAACCTAGGTGATTGGAAATATGATTTTGTTCTCTAAAGAGACAGGGAAGATAGGAAATGATATAAGTTTTGGGGAAGAGAAAATGAGTTCTTTTTTAGACATGTTGAGTTTAAGGTATCTATGGGACTTATAACTTAAAACATTCAACATTAACTTGATGATGTAGCCCTACACAGTTATTTAGATATGTTTATCTGGAGATGTTTATGGGACATAGAGTTTTAAGTGTCTAATAAATAAGTGGTAATGTTGGAGTGGATCTATATATCTGAAAATTAATTGCATAGAAAAGATAATAAAAAACCACACGGAATTTGTTGAAGTCATCAAGAGAGCAACAGCAAGAAAAGAAAGGCAGGAAAGAGCTTTCGGGTATGTGGAGGATTTGAGAAGAGACTGAGGTGATGTGAGACTGGTATGAAGACAACCAAGAAGAAAGCATTGTCATGAAAACCCAGAGAAGTGCATATCCAGAGGAGATGGTAGTAAGCAGGGCTGAAGTTCTGAAGGATTGAAAACAGACTAACAGATTTAACAAGTAAGGAAACATTGTTGACTGTGGAGAAAGCAATTTAAATTGACTAATGAAACTGGAAGTTTGATTGCTCAAGGGGAGAGAAGAAGCAAAGCTGATGAATGTAGACAGATTTTTATCAGTTTGGCTGTGAAAGGAAGGAGTTATAGGACCCAAAATTATGAGGTAAGAGCTCTAGGATACAAGCGTAGAGAAGAGACCTAGACGTATTTGTAGGCAGTAGAAAACAAGCTATTGGATAGGAGGTCAAGACCACAGATATAAGACAAAGAGGGGGTGACAGTGTGGGGACAGTCCAGGGAAGGAGATGGGAAGGGATGAGGCTGAATACAAATAAGGGGGACTGTTTTGGTGAGAAATGTTGGGTTTTCAATGGAAATAAGAAGTAATGGAGAAGAAAAGGGGGAAATGATGTCAAGAGGTTTTGAGGTGCACATCAGAGATTAGGGTAAATGATCAATATTTTGTCAGCAAAGTATGCAGTGAAGTTTTCTGCTGATAGAGTGGAAGGAGTATAGTGTGGATTGAGAGGTATTTTTAAAGAAGAGAATGCAATGGAATGCTACTGCAAAGGAAGAAATTATCACTAGGCAGAATACAGAACATAAACACTTTTTTCCCCAAGTGTTTTAGAAAACAGCAAAACTAAAAAAAATAAATAAATAAAAATAAAAACAAACCCCAATACAGACACTGACTTCAGCTACGTTAAAGTAGATTAAAACAACAGCAGCCACCTCAAAGTTCACTTCCTATAGGAAGCTTTTCCAATAGGCTCAATTGCTAGAGCTCCCCAGTTACTTTGTAATGTACATTATTTGCATCATACAAAATGTGAGCTCTTTGAGGGGAGGAACTATTCTCAGATCTAGTACAGTACCCTGAACACACTATGTGCTTATTAAATGTTTGCTGAAGAGAAAAAAAAATACTTCCTCTCTCCCTAGTTTGCTGAGGGTGGGGGTGGAGAGGAAAGGTGATAGCCCCGAGGCAAAGAATGCACTGTCAGTTTCCATGTCTGGTTGGTCACTTTTGCTGGACTTCCCCCCCCCCCCACCTTTAGAAAAGATAACTGGAAGTTGGGGAGGAGAATATATTCAGAAATAAAGAAGACAAAAACAAAAAATACCAATAAAACTTTAAATTTTTTTTAAAAAGCAGCAAAACGAAACTGACAAACCAAGAAGTACATTACTGCTATCTAGTCCAAGTAATATGCATGTTTTAATTTCTCTTAGCTAAATAATATGTAAAAATCAATCAATCAATCATTAAGTACCTACTATATCCCAAGCTAAGAGCTGGTGATGCAAAAAAAGGGAAAAAGATAGTCCCTGTTCTCAAGGAACTACTTTTAGTTTGTAAAGTACTAAGTAAGTCTTTTAAAAACAACAACAACAAATTTAATTTCTGACAGCAAGTGAATAATTGTATATTTTGGGGGAGAAGCATTAAAGAAATAGAAACAAAGTGGATACCCACTGATTAGGGAATGGCTAAACAAATCATTGTCCAGCAATGTAAGGAAATTGCATCATTAAGAAATGACAAATATTCAAGTATTTAGAGAACCATGGGAAGACTTGTAAACTCATGTATGATAAATAAAAAAGAACATAATATGAAAGGCATTTAAAAAATCCTGAACTGAATGAGGGCCACATAATTATACTAATACCATAGTAACTAATCTTGGGTCTGGAGAAGAGTTGAGGTAATCCATCTTCCTATTACTGCTTGAGAAGTGGGGGAACTCCGGGTATATAGAGTTACTAATAGTTGTCAGTTATATTCAGTTAAGTGCATCAATCAAAGCACTTATTATTTATTAAGCATTTATTTATTTATTTGTTTGTTTGTTTGCTTATTTGTTTATATATTTATTAAGCACTTATTCTGTGGGCAGGCATGATACTGCTGAGGATAAAAAGACAAGTCATGGAGTTGCTTAATATTTTGTTTTCTATGGGAAATTTTTCTGGTCTGACTTTTTTTGCCCAGTTTGCTTATGATCCCAGCCAATTACTTGAGTTTTAAACTCTTTGTTAAGGTAGAGCTCTGCTTCCAGTGTGGAGGTAGTACTGTCCCAAGCTTCAGGGGTATTGTGCAGCTGTTTTCAGAGATACTTCTAGGGACCTGTAAGTTTTCAGTTCTTCCAAGGTATGATCAAGGAAGATCTTGGCCTGTGCTCTGGTCTATGAGTGACCACATGCACTCCTTTATGCCTTGGAACTATGAGGACTCTCCCTTCACTGCCACTATAAGCTCCACCACCATTAACTTGCTCTTTAAAATACTTTTTATAACTACATAAATCATGACAATCTAAAAATTGCGTTACAAATTATAATTTTAATTACTTACACAGTAATTATTTAATCCATTGATTTTCTAACTGTTAATATAATTCAATAAATCTAAGGGCAGTCCAAGCAGAGAAGATAAGAGTGCTGGACTTTGAGTAACAAAGTCATAAGTTAACGTCCTATATTTGAAACTTAATGTACCCAGTGAAAATGACCGTGATCTTTCGGGGATGGACATTCAACAAAATAGGGGACTTCCAAACCTTCCTGATAAAAAGACCAGAGCTCAACAGAAAATACGATCTTCAAATACAAGACTCAAGAGAGACATAAAAAGGTAAACGGGGCAGAAAGAAACAACATGTTATTAATAAGGGCAAACTGTTTACATCCCTACAAGGGATGAGAACTGTAACCCTTGAGAACTGTACTGTACACATAAAAGGGGGTGGGTATAAGTTGACTTTGATGTAGTGATAAAAAAAATCTAATCAAGTGGGTTAAACGGATATAAGTAAGTGGATTAGTCTGATCTAACTAAGAAAATGTACTGAGAGAAAAGGAAAGGAGGAGACAGACAAGGGTAAATCACATTACAGGAAAAGGCACAAAAACCTATTCCAGCAGAGGGAAAGAAGAGAGGGAGATAAGCTTTGTTTGAACCTTACTCTCATCAGATTTGGCTCAAGAAGGGAATAACATAATCAGTTAGGTATTAATATTAATAGACTTGACCCTTCTCAGCAAAGCATGGATCTAAGACATCTCTAAAGGACTCATGCAAAGAAAGAATACCAAGTTTGAATGCAGACAGAAGCATACCATTTGCTATTTTTTTCCTTCTGTTGTTTTGTTTCCTCTTTATGGTGGTTCCTCCTATTGGTTCTAATTCTTATTTACAACATCACTAATGTGAAAATGTTTACTAGGAATGTATATGTATAGCCAATATCAGATTTTGCACTGTCTTGGGAAGGGAGGTGGGAAAGGAGGGGGAGAAAAATTTAAAACTCAACAGCTTATGGAAGTGATTGTTGATAAATCCAAATAAATAAATGTTTTAAAAAAAGAAACTTGATGGCCGTGTGAAGCTAGTAAAACATTTAACCTCTGTTTGCCTCAGGCAATTAAGCTAAGTACTTCAATTGAGGCAAAAATGTTACTACAATTTTACTTGGAGATAAATATTTTCATCTTATCTCCATTTCTCCCTCTTATTTAAAAAAAATGCATGAAGCTGATACAGCTTGGTCCTTTCAGGTATTCATTAATTCTAGTTCCTTTAGTGTTAAACACTATAATAAGACATTTCCTAGCTATGTGAGCTTAAGTAAGTCAATTAACTATTGTGAGCCAGTTGTTGTGAGGATTGAATGAGGTCCTTGAAAAATTACTAAGTCACAGACAGGATGGTCCCATACCAGGAGTTTATCACAATGATAGACCCACAGATCCTTACTTTGGATGTGTTATTTTATTTCTATATCTAATAGATGACTAAAATTAGCTTCCCACTCATAACTATAAAAAACATAGTCTTCAATGTTTCTCTCATACTTTTAAAACAACTTTTTAAAATATTGATCTATCTGGAATTTATTGTTGTCTTATATGTTGGTCTAATATTTCCCACCAAATTGCTAGTTTTCTCAGCAGTTTTACTGACTGGTAAGTTCCTATTCAGTGATTTGTATTCTTAGCTTTGCTCAACACTAAACTACTGTATGCATTATGTTCTAAATGCTGTTAACCAAATTTATTCCAAGAATCCACTTTTCTATTTTTTAATCCAATGCTGGAGAGTTTGATATTTTATATTATACTATAATATTATTGTATTATTTTATATTTTTATATGTTTTCATATTATTATAACTCTAGGTCTGGCCTGATCATTCCTCTTCTTTCTTACCTTTGTTCTTTATCTCCCTTGATATTCTTGACCCACTGGCATTGCATCAGATCGGTAGATTTTAATTTGTGTAGTAGCCATCTTTTCTCTATTAGTTAGGCCAAGCTATTAAGTCTTTATTTTCTTTCAACATGGTATGAATGGGCTTTAAAGCTGGCTTTCTCACATGTGTAAATCAATACATTCCTAGTCACTTACATATCTAATCACACAAAACGGTAAGACAAAGACTAAGAAATATTTTTCACAATTAGCACAACATGTTCCATAGACAAGTCAGATAAAAAAAAAGATTTTGTCATGTTTGTCAACATGCGACTTATTAACAAACCTCATAAAACCTTTATTTTTATTTGATTTTGATTTATCAACAATTACTTCCATATGCTTTTGAGTTTAAAATTTTTCTCCCCCTTCCTCCCCACCACTCTCCCCAAGATGGCACACAATCTCATATAGGCTATACATTTACATGCCTATTAAACATATTTTCACATTAGTGAAGTTGTAAGTAAAAATTAAAACCAATAGGAGGAACCATTTGAAAGAGGAAATAAAACTCAACAGAAGAGGAAAAAAAATGATAGCGCTTCAACTTCCATAGTTCTTTGGACGTGAATAGCATTTTCTATCATGAGTCCTTTAGAGATGTCTTAGATCCTTGTATTGCTGAGAAGGGTTAAGTTTATCAACATTAGTCATTGCACAACGTGGCTGTTGTTGTGTACAGCGTTCTCCTGGTTCTGCTCGCTTCACTCAGCATCAGACCATACAAGTCTTTCCAGGTTTTTCTGAAGTCAGCCTGTTCATTTCTTATACCACAATAGTATTCCATTACATTCATAACTTGCTCAGCCATTCCCCAATTGATGGGCATCCTCTCAATTTCCAATTCTTTGCCAACACAAAGAGAGCTGCTATGAATATTTTTGTACATGTGGGTCCTTTTCCCATTAGTATGATCTCTTTGGGATACAGCCCTAGAAGTGCTATTGCTGGGTCAAAGGATATGCACATTTTTGTAGCCCTTTCAGCATAGTTCCAAATTGTTCTCCAAAATGGTTGGATCATTTTACAACTCCACCAACAATGCATTAGTGTTCCAATTTTCCCACATCTTCTCCAACATTTATCATTCTCCTGTTTTGTCATGTCAGCCAATCTGATAGGTGTGATGTGGTACCTCAGAGTTCTGTTTTGATTTGCATTTCTCTAATCAAATGATGATTTAGAGCATTTTTTCATATGACTATAGATGGCTTTAATTTCTTCATCTGAGAACTGTCTGTTCATATCCTTTGACCATTTATCAATTAGGGAATGGCTTATAGTCTTATTAATTTGTCTTAATTCTCTACATATTTTAGAAATGAGGCCCTCATCAGAGAGACTAGTTGTAAAAATTCTTTCCCAATTTTCTACCTTCCTTCTAATCCTAATTGCATTGGCTTTGTAAAACCTTTTTTAAGGTGTCCATATTCTCTTCCACAGTCTTAGCAGCAAATGTATTCTACAAGTCATTTTATAAGTTGTATAGCTTTCAAAGATATTGTAGCCAACAAATTGGAAATGAGAAAAAATCCTCACCTGATTCTCTTTTGTTCCGTCAGGTCACCCTCACTAACCAGCATTGCTGATAATAACCGAAGAGTTGAATTGGCAGACTTAGACTGGTTGTTTTTCATCCCCAGTAGCCATCGTACTAGAAGTTTAATTGCTTGAACCTATAAAATATGAAGAAGTTACAATATACTGCCAACATAGAGTCATTAGGGATAAATGCATCAAAAGTGATTTTTGTTATTGTCACCTCAGTTGTGGCAACTGCTTTGTTTGCCCTTATGACATAATTTTTCACAAATCAAGGGCCAGGTATAATTCATAGATTGTTTACCAGTTATCTATTGTTTTCAAATTCTATGAAAAAAAGGGGCCAAAAAATCCTGTATACAATGTTAAAGATAGTCACAGGGATTAGCTATTTTCATTGAAATTATTTTCTTTGTTGCAAAGGAGGTTTAAATCTTGAACAAATCTTATAACACAGCAATATGTGATGTAAAAACAAAAAAACACAACCCGAAACATCCCCTAAACTTATATATAAAAAAAGAAGAAGAAATTTTCAGGCTCTCTTTCTCTTTTTTTGAGTGTAGATTTTAAAGGAAAAAGATAAATTTTATTCTACACCAGGAAAAAACTGTCACCAAGAAGCTACTTATCTTAGATTAGGTAGTTTAGGTGGGTAACATCTTCATTTATGGAACAGATGAAGAGAAACGATAGTTATCAATGGTTCAATATAAACCTGGAATTAATATGTTCAATGGCTTCCCATGGGGTTATGCTGGACTCAATATTGTTTAGTATTTTATCAATGTTCTGGATGAGGTAATTGAAAGTGTGCAGATATGCATACTGGAACAGATTATCAAGGAAGGATATGTGATCTGTATCCAAAAACAATACCAAAGCATTCACCTCTTTCACCTTTATTCAATTCTTTAAAGGGGTGGGGGAGTGGGGATGGGGGAGGAGACACACAATATTGTTATGTCCCTAGAGCCTTACCTAAGGTTTAAAACTGCACTAAGGCTCTGGGGACACCTAATGTAGGTCCTTTGATGTTCCTTTGGGACCCGTGATTCTACAATCATTCCTTCAATAAAAAAAGCTGAACAGAGGAATTATTCATAAAGTCAGAAGGTCACACACATCATGGGGAAAGAAAACAATAAGTGAAACACCGATTTCCACAAGAGAGGGAGACAGACAAATGAAAAAAAAAAGATGTCTAGAGAAAACTAATAGGTAAAACTATTAAGTATTCAGAGATTTTTTCATCTGTTGTAATATGAAATATTCCATGGAAAAATGCTTATATAATGAATCAAAATGGGTATCTGTGAATAAGAACTGCTTTATGACACAGGACAGTAAGAAATATAAAGACTGCTTACTTTGGCTAGTACTTCTGGGGAAACTTCTTCATCTGGAGACCATAATTTTCCATTCTTCTCACCTGTTGACTGTAAATACTTGAATAAATTTACTTTAGAAGAAACAAGTTCTAGTTCTTTGCTTTATCACGCTTCTTCTGCTATAAAAAGTTATGCACTTCAAAGTTAGAGCATTTTATCCCTGAAGTTTTGGTATTCCAACTTGTGGATTTAGGTAGCAAGCAGTACACTAGACAGTACAATGACTTCCCTGTTCCTATGGCCTCATTAGCAACAGTGATAGGCATGAATAAGACAAGCCATCACTCTCTGGTTGCTTTGGATATGGATATCTTCCATCTGAGGAGACCCAAGTCTCATTTCTGTCTTCCCACACTGTAACTGTTACATTTGGTCCCACCTTAAAAAAAAAAAGTCCTTCCTTTCCTGATCAAAAGACTTCATGTTAGGGAGTTAAGTACAACATGAAATAGTGAGTTATTCCTGGTTTTCCCTTCAGAATAAAGAGAAAAAGATAGATTAGTCAAACTCAGTTACGAGGAATACATGTCCATTTGACAAAATTCTGAAGTTTGACTTATAAATCTGCGTGTAAGAAAGGATTATTCATTTTAGAAAATGACTCATTGAAGAATTACTTTTCAATAATGAACTCTCACTTTATTTCATTTTTAAAGCCTTTCAAGAGCACTTCTATTACAATAAATGGAGATTAAATATGTATAAAAAGAACTAAGTTCAAGTCGATTTATTTCAAACAATAAGTGACATAATAAAATTTCAGCACTATGAGAGAATCAGAACAGTCCATGAAGTTCATTACAATAAGATCTGACTTTTTTTTCCTTTACTCTCTGATTTGTTCACCTCATTTTCCTTCTCAATCAGTAGGTTCTGGGTTAAAAGCCAATCTGGGTTTGTAGAAGGTATTCTGTAACTAATAAGGGGAAAACTAGAAGAGTAAAACCAATATGGACTATTTCAAAATGATGGTACAATCATGCAAGGTAGTATAAAAAAAAGCAATGATTTGATCCTGTTTTTTAAAATGTATTATCAATCTAGATTTGCTTATTAAAAAAATAAGCAATGTGTGAATGACAACATTAGAATAGGAAAACATGTTTTAAAAAAAATTACACACTTACCCTGTCATTCATTAGAAGATCTTTCACAATAAAATTTGCTACTACCGATTTCATTGGGGAAGCAAACTGATCTGGTGCTAACATGGAAATATGGCCCAATGAAACTAAAGGGGTTATAAGCTGCTCTGGAACATCAGCATTCAGACTCCTACTGAGAGGCTGGGAAAATAAAATAATAGAAATGAAAATTTAAGGGTATTATAACTAACCTTCAGAGCAGTGCCTACACACTCTAGTAGAGTATGGAATAAACCAAAATTCTCTTAAATTTTCCACAACAATTTTCTAATATGGACACAGTTTCTTAATGGCAACCAAATAAGAATATGAACAAAAGAAGATTAGTTCTCTTCCCCACTAAAATTTAATACAACAAAATAAATGCAGAGAAGGCACATTTAGAAAAATATTGGACTAAAAGGAATGAAGAGAGATCATAATAAATAGTGGAGACAAAAAGCTCTTGCCTCATTTAATTACTTCTGTTCCCTCCAGCATTGCCCAAAATGCCAACACATTCTACTACAACTAGCATATTCTACTGGTGGCATAGCTAGAGGAATTCTCACACTCCTGAGACATTTAAAGTAATTTTGACCTTCAGGAAATGTGACTCATTATGCAATAAGCTGAACACATCCAATTCATGGTAGCACAGATTGAACTGTTTGGGAGTAAACAAGAAATTAATCCAAGGGTAAGGGGAACTGGGGAACTGATTTCCCAATGGCATCGATCCGGCCTTTTAAATTGCTCAAGAACAAAGCTAGTCATCTAAATTCACATTATAGAATTGTGGACTTATCTCTAAAACTACTAAATGGTTAGCCTAAATTTAAGATAGGACAGGACACTGCCCCTTGAATAAGCAAGGATTCTATTTAGATCTGCAAAGTAGGTGCACTTCCAAAGCCAACAAAAGTCAACAAACCATAATGTAAAATAAATAAGTAAAAACCCTATGAACTATACATACCTCAAAAATCTGTGCAAGCTGTACTTCTTTATTTGTGAATATGGCATGGATACAATGGACAGCTTGTTTTGCTTGGTGTGGTGTACCTCTTTTTGCTTTTTGATGTAAAATGGGAATTAAGGTGCTGCAAATATTAAAGTAACACTCTTAAAATGTAGTAAGACCATATACTTTAAGCAATTTGTTTAATTGGATTTCTGCCATACCTACTTTTAAGCATAATACCCACAGGACCTGAGTCTTCAAAATAATCTGTAGTGTACAAACTATTCTTGACAATTCCTCACCCCTAGTAAAACCACGACATTTAAAAAATTTCTTATGAAACACACAAACTACTTAAGGAGCTTGGACATACAGCCAAAATTTTAATTTAAAAATTACTGAACTAGAGTCCATCCAGAACTTCCTACATAACAGATAGAATGAACATATTTTCTAAGTTGCTAAACAGCCTCCAAAAAATAAAGATAATAAAAACAATTAATTACAAATTTAACCAGAGTTGAATGTGTTATTTCTCTAACTCTTGATTCTGTTATTTTTACGGTGGCAAAAAAGGATATGTAGATGCATCATTTTTTGAGAAGACTGATTTTAAAATTTTTAAATTCTTTCAAATAACTTTTAAAGATACAAAACTATATCTTTTACATCAAGTTTACATCAAGCCTAATTTTTATCTTTGAAACTTCCACCCAATATTTCCTTTAATCAGGATAGATATCTTCAGTTCTCTCAAATAATCCTCAACTGTCATCAAATTGAGGTTTTTCATCATCTTGGTTGCCTGCTTCTGGATTCCTATCCCATGACTGTTCTAAAATGTGCTGCACACCGAATTGAATACAATACTACTGAAGTGTTCTGGCAAAGGTGGAGTGCAGATGGACCATGATGTATTTTATGCTTGAAACCTATTGAACTTTTACTACAGCTCAAGACATGATTAGCTTTCCTGGCTGCTACATAATACTGTTAATAGAATGTAGGTAAACTGAAAGTAGAGATTGTTTCATTTTCTGAATTGGTATCCCTAGTGCCTAGCATAATGCCAGATATGTAGCAGGTATTTAATAAATGCTTATCAAATTGACTGACTCATACTGAGCTTGTAACCCAGAAATTCTCAGATCTTTTTCAGAGAAACTGCTGTCTAACTATGATTCCCATTTTACATGTAGTAAGTCATTTCTTTGAATTCAAATGTACAATTTTACATTCTTCCCTATTAAATTTCACCTTATGAAAACTGGCTCAATATACCGGGATGACAAGACTTTTTTGGATATAGTATGTGAGCCATCCCTCTCACACTGTGTCTTCTTGTAAATTTTACAAGGATACATCTATGCCTTGGGTCAAGTCCGTGATAAAAACGTTAAATAACACAAGAAAAAGCACTGATTGAGGAGAAACTCTATTGGATATGTCCTTGCAAACTGATATGAAATCATTAATGACTAATTTTGGGTTCCAGTCATTGAACCAGTTGCTAACGTTTTAATTATACTACTATTTAACCCACATATCTGCAGTTGGTATAAGAGGACTATGAAACACTTAAATACTAAAATCTAGGTAACCTATTATTTACAATATTCCTATGAACCACTAGTCTAAAAGTAAACAGAAATAAGGTTATTTATGCAAATACCTATTGTTGATGAAGTGATACTGACTTTATGATCACCACTTCAGTTTCTGAAACATTTCATTTACCATCTCTTTAATTATACATTCTAGAATTCTGTTGGGAATGAAGTAAAGCTCACCACCCTAGTTTGTTGATTATATATTCATTTCCCTTTTGTGAAAATGGACATTTACCCTTCTCTAGTCCTGGAGAACCTTTCTTATTGTCCATGATCTTTTAGATTATCATTGAGAAGAACTCAGCAATAACATCTACTAGTTCTTTCAGCCCTCAAGATGTAGTTCATCTGGTTCATGTGACTTGAACTGATCAAATGCAAGATACTCTTATTTTGGTTATCAAATTCCTCATTAGCTATTTTGGTTCTTTCATTCCTAGGCAAAGGTCATACTTCTTGGTGTAAGTCATATAAGAACTGAATCACTCTACTTCCATTTGTCATTGGTCATCATTGTTCAACAGTGGTCCTATTTCTTCACTAATCCTTCTCTACTCCTCAATACAGCTTAACAAACATCAAAAACGAACTATAATCTCTCTAGCTCTTTCTAAGTATACAAAGAGGAAATTTGTGCTGGATAGGAAAGATTTTTGAGGACAATGAGGGATTTATTTTCAGGCTACAAGAAAAAGGAAAATGTACCAAATATTTAGACAAAATAGTAAGCTTTGTTTCTAATGAACAACAAAAAAAAAAGACCAAAAAAAAAATAACAAGTATGAAGCTGTTGGACCACTTTCTCAACTCCACAAAATTTTTATGAGGATAATCTACATATGTATGTAGATTACTGTTGGTGAAGATATGAAATAGGCTATGATCACATCAGGCAGGCTTTCTGCAAATGCTACTCTATAACAGACTACATATTCAGAGTAACTCATTGATTATGCTTACTCTTCGTTGTCTCCATTCCTTTGCACTGGGGCTGCTAGGCTATACTTGGAATGTGCTCTACCCTCACTTCCACTTTCCAGAATCCCTCTCCTCTCTTCCTTTAAGCTGTGGCTCAAGTATCATTTTCCACATACTTTTTTTCCTGGTCTTCTCAACTGCTAGTGCCCTCTCTTTCAAGCTGCCTTGTATTTAAATGCCTTATATTTATTCTCTTTATTTCACATATATTTATATACATCTTTGCAATTTCACCCAGCAGAACATAAGCTTCCAGTGAGTGGAGGCTGTTTCATTTACTGTATTTGTATTCCAGAGCACAGCATGGTACCTGTCACATAGTAGGCACTTATTAAATGCTATCACAGATCACTGACTGATTTGCCAGATCTTACTGATTCTACTTCTCTCACATCACACCCTTTTCTCTATTCTTCTTTCACAGGATAATCACCCTAGCCTACTACATAAGCCTCCAAATTCTCTCCACATAGACTCTTGTCCCTCGTCAGTCCATCTTCCACACAGCTGCCATGTTGATATTGTTAAAGTGCTGGTCCAAACACATTAACTCCCTTATTGAAGAAGCTCCAGTGTTTCCATGTTGACTACAGAATATATAAATTCCTCTGTATGATATTTAATACCTTTAACAATGTGGTTCCAGCCTGTCATTCCTGCTCCAAAGGAATGAGCATTAGTGTTACATTCCAGCTCTAACACTCACTAGACTTTGTTCATGGCCGACATGTTTAAGTTGATAAGTCTTAAATTCCTCATAATTTGTAAACAATACTTGGACTAACTATTTTGCAGGATTATTTTAAAGAAAGCATTTTGAAAAGCTCAAAACACTATGTAAATGTGAATTACCTTAGTATTTACAAAATATGACAGCCTGTAGAAACCCTGGGATGAATAATATGGGCATTTGATGCTGTTTAATTAAAGTTCTTTATAAAATGATTTTTATGCAATTGTTCAAGAAATTACTGTTGCAATTATTTCTCTCGTTTATTTCTAAAATAAGAATGTGAGTGACAATTGTTAAGCCTTGAATTCATGATAATGAAGAATAGAGCACATTCCAAATGTATGGACAAATAAAAGTCTAATTTGTAAAAACCTGTTAACTTATTATTTTTTCCAACTAGTTAGCTTTTGATGCAAGTGGTAACTGATAGTTAAGTAGCAAAAGGAAAGAAAGAAATCTGCTAAATAACTGAAGCTAACCTACTGTATACATTCATGTGTAGAAAAATGGGAGAAGACAAAAAGTAAAATTATGATTCAGTCATATATGTCAGCAGTGAAGCTTTAGGATACCATATAAAGAAAGCAAACTCACGATCTTATTTGTGGAAGGTCTGTTTCTATTTTGTGTCCTGTATTCCTAAAAATCTGTATGGCGGCTTCTGCTACTTTGTCATCTTCCATTCTGAGGCACTGCAGCAGGGACTCATATGTCTCTGCTGAGTGAAACGAGGTAGGATGTGTGAAAGATAGAACCTGTATGACAGACATAATGCTTTATGAGCATGGACGATAAAAAAAAAATCAAGAAAAAAATGTATTCTACAGCAGAGAAGATAAAAACTAAACAATTTGCTTAATTTTTAGCAGTACCTTTAACAATACTGATATTCAAATAACTCAAGTGGTGACATTTTGAAATGGGAAGGATATTAACTGTAACATAACCTCTCAAATTCATGCACTTTAATCATGGAAGGTAAAGATATAGTATAGTACTATTTTTTTGTCTGCAAGGAAGAGACTTAAATGAATAAAATAACTTCTTAATTTTCACATTTGTATCTCTCATGCTTAGCACAATACTTGCCTTGCACACAGTAAGCACTTAATGAAAGCTGCTTCTTTATCACCAATATTACCACCACCCAAGTAAAATACCCATGTAGTATACAGAGTGCTAGACATGAAATGGGTTTATATGCTGACTCTTGACACTTACTAGCTGAGTGACCATAGGTAAGTAATTCAACTTACCTTAATCTTAGTTGAATTATCTGCTAAACGGGGATAAAACCAGCAGAACCAACCTCTCATGATTGTTTTGGAATACAAATGAGTTAACATGAGTAAAGTACTTTACAAATATTAAAGCACAATTTATGTGCCAGTTACCTTTAACTCTTAATCTGATATTAAACTTTTAAATATTTTAATTCAAGAAAGATAAAATGCTATGAGATGTCTAATCAGCTATATACAAAAAGAGTAGTGTTTGAAAAGCTTGCAGATGATTAAATTTAGGAAAGGATTAGTTACTTAACAAAGGAATTTGGAAAACTGGTTGTCATTTGGATAAGAAATAGATTTAAGGGGGCCACTAGGTGGTGCAGTGAATGCACAGAGCTCTGGCCTTGGAGTCAGGGGGACCTGAGTTCAAATTTGGCCTCAGACACTTGATACTTACTAGCTGTATGACTCTGGGCAAGTCACTTAGCCCCAGTGGCCTCACCAAAAAAAAAAAAGGAATAGAATTAGGTCTAATTCTTATACTAGCTGCCATCAGTGAATTTCAGTGGGATGATATAATTAAGCATTAAAAAAAACTATGAAAAATACAAGATGGAATAATGGATGCATTTCAACTGTAGAATATTACCAACCAATCCTTGCCCCACCCCTCCCCATTCAGCAAATGGAAGGAATTATTAGAGACAGAACAGATTTGCTTAACTATATTAAAAAATTGAATTTTTGCACAAGAAAAAAATTGAATTTTTGCTCACTTTTAAATTTTGCACAAGAAATCAGCATAAGTAAAAGAAAAAAAACCCTGCCATCTAAAATACCTAAGGAGCTGTTAAAAAAAAAACCCATGAAAGTATTTCTCATCTGATATACAATAAAGCATCAAAAAAAAAAGGAACAGATAATTTCCAAATGCTGAAACAAATAGTTAACTTAAGATGCTGAGCCTCACAAATACTCAAAGTGATGCTAAGTCAAATAACTCTTAGTTACCACTTCACATTCCCCAACCTGGCAAAAATGAATAAAAACAATAAACCTCAATCCTGAAATAGCAAGTTTGCCGCTGGCTGAATTGAAAACTTATTGAATATCTTTGACCCAATAATTTCTTTGTTGCCTGAAGGTATTAATGAAACAAAAAAGTAGAAGTGGCCACTCCTCCAAGGTCTTCAGAAACAAACAAGGCTTTAAAGCTTGGAGAGTCAATGATAAAGAAGAAGTCTTTCTGGGGAAAATTCTTTCTGAGATCTGTTCAAAGATTATTACAGCACCAATACAAATAAATGTTTAAAAGACCTCAGAAATTATCTAAATGTCCTAACAAAGGCAGAATAGTTAACAAAAATTGTGGTACCTTGTTGTAATGTTATTATATAATGAAGATTACTGAGTGCGAAGAATATAAAGGAAGCTGGAAATTCCTTTATGAAGTAATGAATATAAAGTGAAAAAAGCAGAACAAGAATAAAGTAGAATACACATGAATTTCAACTATACTACACTAAACAGACAAAGAATCCTGATGGAAACTTAGGGATTGACAGAAAAGTTCTGGCATTTTAAATGCTAAAAATAATTTAAAATAATTTCAAAGTTAGTTTAATTATATTTATATTCATGATTATGCTTTAATAAGTCACAATGGCACTGCTAAAATGATTGATCTCACAATAACTACAGATAAGAATTATGAATATTAATACTATTATGAATAGCCTCCCTTTCTAATATTATTTTAATAAGCTTTCCTATACTAAAACCAGCTTGTAACTAAATTTATTTTACACAACTTTACTGTTGCATATGTATACATCCTGTCACTGAAGATATTGGTCATCTTAGACCATAAGAGATAATCTAACTCTGCCTGAAAACATTCTGTATAATGCTCTAGGCATTATACAATTATCTTCCCAAACAAATTATAAACTCCTAAAGGGGACTGACCATATCTTTCACATCTTTCTGAGCAGCTAATCTAGTATACTGTGAATCAGCAGACACTTAATAAAGAGTAAAAAGCTTTTCAGTTTCCCAATCGCCATCTCACCACAAATAGCCCTGGGATGAGTTAATTACTTGTCATTCCTGTTGAGAGTCAATGTGCAATGAAGAGAAGATAGGGGAACAGGTGATCCCTTCTGAACAAGCCTAATTATCAAGCTATCTGGAAAAGAAAAGTAAGTGTGGGAACTTTTACAGTAATTGATGTAAAAACTTCAAGTAGCTGACTTAAAGGCCTATAAACCTGAGCCCTGATTTTCATGATAACCTTTTTAGAACTGTATGGTACTGGGAGAGAACTGAATGATGGTGAAACATGGTGAAGTCTGAACACTTGTTTTTTCTATTCTTCTCTAGAATTTCTTACAGCAAACTGATACTGTTATATTTTTGCAGCCTCAAAAATAATTTTCTCTTGTCCACAGAAACAAAAATTAAGTATTTTCTGCTGCTGCACAAAGTATATTTAATATTTTCAAAGATATTCAGCTATCTCCTTGATACACAATGGTGCATAACGTAAGTTAGTTCATAGGCTTCACGTGCATGTACATCACAATTTATGAGTTTTATTGACTAAATTATACATCTAGTTCTTGTTCCTACAAATGTAGAAAAGATAAAATTTTTAAAAAAGCAGTCTTGGTACAAATGATCTCTTCTGCAAGGCTACAACTATATAGAGGGCAAGGAATATCTTATTTCATTTCTATGGTTTTCAAGATGCCTTGCACATTGGTAGGTGTTTAACAAAAATTAAAAACTGCAAGTCAAAATAAAACAAAACTAAAAAAAAGCCAACTTTTAAAAATGTATGAAAAGTTTAAAAATTTTCTAAAAAGTTGACTTGAGAGGACTTATTGCAAAATCAACTGGATAGTTTTACTGAATCAGTGAATAAATTTCACTAAGCAATGATTTAGGGTTATATGAATAAGTTTATGATGCTTAGGGTCAAATACAGTATTTGGCACAAAGTAGGAACTTAATAAATATTGATTGATATAGAAAAATGGGACAAGAAATTAGAAATAATCTATGAGGTTAAAATTTATTCATAAAACATTTGTTCTTATAATACTAAAACATAATTTTTGAGATTCTGACTAATCAAATATTCCAAAATTATCTTTCAACAACATACCAAATTATAACATTGAAGTGGGTTAAAAAGGCTGAAATTCTAGATTACTTTAGGATTAAAAGGCATCAAAGAGAAAACTAAATTAAAATTAATCAGAAAACCTGAAAAAAAAAGTCTTCTCTATACATTCAATACATGTAATAGATATCACTATGACCTTAATAAATGTGAAAAACACTGGTAAAAACTGCTTTACCATAAAAAAAAATTGGTGATCTTATGAAATCATTTACTTTTATACCTTGTATTTATATTTTTCGCCAGTATTCTGAGTATTCTTTTTACCCATGATACAGCACCAAATCTTACACAACTTGCCAACTTCTTGTCACATCTCCTAAAATCACCCCAAACCAAACTGGTTTAAATGACTCCAATCAAAGAGTAGTCAGTCACTAATGATCTGATTTCAATTTGGAAGCTGTTTTAGTGGAAGGCCCCAGGAACTGATGCTGGCCCCTATGCTGCTTTACATTACCTGACAATGACTTAAGTGAAGGCAAAGATAGCCTAGTTATCACTCTTGTAGACGTCACAAATCTGGGAGGGTATACCTAACATGATTACTACCTCTAAATATGTTTACTAATGAAGTAGTCCCCTACCCCCCCAAAATCTTAGAATAGGTTAGAATGTAAGACCAAATAAAATGAGTTTTAAAGGTCTGTTTAAGAAGTTATTTAAAAAATACAGGATAAAGAAGGCATAGCAATACAACAGTTTGTATGAAAAATATCAAAAGGAGGAGAGATTAGTTTACTGCAAGTTCACCATAGGTCAACAGGTTGCTATGGGAAAAAAAAAGCTAACTCAGTGCTTGACTATTAAATGTAGTGATACAGCTAGAACAAGAGAGGTCTTGCTGTTCTTTGCCCTCATCTAGAATGTAGATGCTATAGTTTGGGAAGGACAATGACAAGCCTTATTAGGTCCAGGAAGACAATCAAGATAGTGAGAGGGCTGGATACCATACCATGCAACATATGCTGAAAAAACTAGGGATACTTCCTTTGGAAATGAAAAATGGATTATGGCATACATGATGAACATCTTTAACCATTTGAAGGATTGTTATCTCTATAGATAAACAACATCTTAATCATCATACAATCCCACACAAATACCCCATAAGAAGAAGTCCACCAACTGGAGAGTGGCTGAACAAATTTTAATATATGAATGCAAAGGAATATTACTGTGTCTTAAGAAATTAGAAAAGGGATGGAATCAGAAAAACCTTGCAAGGCTCACATGTACTGATGCAGAATGAAATGAGTAGAAAAAGAACAATTTTTATGATTACATAATATAAAGGAAAACAGCTTTGAAAGAAATAAGAATGCTGATCAATGCAATGACCTGTCATGAAAGATGGGGTATACTTCCTATCACCTGGCAGAGATGCAGAATAAGACATACATTTATACACATGACCAATGTATGTATGTATTATTTTTTTTTGCCTAACCATACTTATTTGTTATGAGAGGGATTTTTTTATGGTGTTGTGAGGAGAATTAAGGAGGGAATGGGAAGAGGGGAGTGACAGTAATATAAAAGAGAAAAGAAAGAAGAGAAATATCAATGAAATAAAAATGTCAATGAAATTATTTTAAAATATACAGAAGACAACAGCAGAAAAGTTGCTGGGAAGGAGACAAGCAGGGCAGTGTTGGAACTACCATTTCAAATTTAATATATATTTTAAAAACCAAGCTGTACAAGAACAGATTCATGGTGTCACACAAAAAAAGAAATATGTGAAGGCACTTCAACCAGTTTCTTTGAAGATGGGAGGGTGCTATGGAAGTGGAATATTGCATAAAATTTATGTCAAACTTTTTAAATATAATAATTAGTTTTGCTAAATGGCTTTTCTTCTTTGGTATTATATGATTCTCTGGAGAGAGGGTAGATGGGTCTATTATGAAATATAGGTTACATAAAAACAAAGATATCAATAAGATATCAATAAAATCTATTGTTCAAATAAAAAAAGAATATTGGACTGAAGAGTCACTGGTTACTTAAGAAGATGTGGAATATATAGTATTAATGTTGAAAAGTTGTGTTTCATATATTTATAAACCTGCAGTTCCAGCAATCATCTATCACTTGTACAAGTCTAATATCTGCAAATAGTAAATAGACATTTCTGCAGCTGGACCTATGATTTCATTGGTATAAAGAACTCCCAGTTAAAGAAACTCTTCCATCTCTGCAACTTAGTCTTTGAAAGTAACAACATGAAAAACAGAAAAAAGTCACTCACCCAGGATAACAAAATCAGTATGTGGCACAGATGAGATGACCACTATGCTGTACTGCTCTTGGATATCCAGTAACTTAAAACTCAATTTGTCCAAAACCAAACTCATTACCTTCTCCACTCCCTAATTAGCTCCTATGGTTTTTCCTCCATTATTTCACTGTGGTTTTTTGGTATAGTAAAGAGTACTGAATATGGAGTCAGGAGACCAGTGTCTGAATATTGCCTTAAACCATTATGAGTTATAATATCATAAGCAAGTCAGTTTCCTCATTTATAAAACGGAAATGATAACTTAGCAGCTGCCTCAAAGAGTTATTGAGAGAAAAGCTCTTACTACATCTTAAGTCATTAGGTACTCCAAAGTACTTAGGTTTATAATCTTACTATATTTGCATATGCTCCCTTTTCAATCCTATTTCTTGTGTGTCTACAAATTCTGCCTATTTCTTCCTCTGAAATATTTCTCATGTCTCTCACAATCCCTTTACTGCAGTGACTACCTTAATGAAGGTCTACAGCATTTTATACAGGGCTTCTTGCCCCAGTTGCCTAACTACGCCTTCTGCCTCCATTTTCTCTGCACTCTATGTCAACCTACACATCACTGACAAATCACTCTTAATAAAACCCATCATTCCTGGACTAAGAATTGTTCAAAAGCATTCTGTCTGGTGCCTTCAGGCTCTAAGTTCAAATGCCTGAGCACTGTACAAAAGATGTTACAGAAGTTATACAATGCCTTTCTTTCCCATTTCCTTCCTATTAATCCCTAATAACAAACCTTTCCTCCTGACAGCCTGGTTTCCTCACTTTCCAGAACAAGCAATGTTCTTTCCCACACCTAACATTTCTGTAGTTACAGTTAATTTTTCTCTGGTGATCAAACTTTTATTGGTTCTTTAAGACTGGATTAGTCATAAGTTCTCCATTAAGGCTTGCTGATCATTTTAGCTTACTATGATCTGTCAATTCTTTGACTTTGTTTAGTATTTACTGACTAATGAAATATTATTACTTGGATTCATATTTCCTATGGGTTTATTCTTAACTATTAACTATATTATTAACTATTCTTGTATTTCCAATTAACTTCTTGGCAAGCAGAGATCAGGCTTTAAATTTACTTTAAATCACCCATGGCAACAAGCAGAACTTTTATTATTTGGAATAAACAGTATATAGATGCCTGCCAATATTACTTGTTTAAAGCACCTCTTCAATATGAAATAATGAATTTGATTCTACTATGACTGTTACCAGTGGATGGGTGCAAAATTCATAATAAAAATACCTTAAGTAGTTCAAGTCCTGCACGAATGGCTGTATCTGGACTCACACCCTCCTCTTCATCATCAGCAGTTCCCTCTATTGACTTGTTCATCAGCTTCACTAGTGCACTATCAAAGAAGAAAGTCTAGATTAGTTGCAAGTACCCCAAAATATTAAAGCTAAAGCATTTAACAATCCAAATTTTAGGTAGATTAAAAAAAAATTTATATGAGCAAATTTTAAAGGCAAAAAATAAATCTGTTTCATTTAAATCAGCTGTAAATTTTGTAAAATATTCTGCACAAATACTCAACAGACTCTTAAAACTAAACTTCTAACTAAATTAAAAATTAGAGGAAATTATATTTTATAATAATTTAGGGATTTAAATTATGGTGATTAATTTCCTTTCATTTCCTTAGCTTTGTAAACTTGTTTTCTTCAGTTCGATAGTAAAATGCTCTCAAGTCTACACTTCTTATCACTAACTGATGAAAGGCAAGTTAACCTTTATAAAAATGAGACACAGTGAACAAATTTTTCTTAGTTAAATGTATAACTTCCTATTAATCCCTAATAACAAACCTTTCTTCCTGACAGACCGGTCTTCTCACTTTCCAGAATGCATACCACAAGGAATTACATTCCAATTTACCTTGGAAAAAATTTTCAGATAATTTTTAACTGAACAGTTTCTTACAAAATTGATCTACTATTCAAGGATTAATGAACTACTTTTGATTAAAATTCAGCAAGAGGCTTTAAACATTTTACCTATACACATTATGCATGAAACTTAGTGAATTCTTTGATGACAGAGAGGCTACAATATATACTAAATGTGTCACACATACTAAATGAGAGAGACAGCGTAGAAAGGGCCAAGCTTTTAGTCAGGAAGACTTTGATTCAAGTGCTTCTCTGATGCATAAAGGTTGCATTACCATGAGAAAGTGAAATAAACATGTCATTGTTCTAGGCAAGCCTCCAAAATTGAAGTCTTATACAAGTTACTGATACATATTGGTATTGGGAGTATTCATGGGGGATTTTCTCTTGCTGATGGGATAATCAAGGCAGACACTTTTTAAAATGAAGAATTTTTCAATCTTATCAGTTGTTTCTTGATAGTTCTTATTTAATGAAATATCATTTTCTATTTGCTTAATTTGTTTTGCTATCCATTTAAACTACGCAAACTTTTTTTATCACATTTGTTGAATTTTTAGACTGAATCTCTTTTTAAAGAATGTTAGAATTAGTTGCTATCAGTAGATTAAAAAGAAGGTGGTATGATTTATATCTCAGCTTACAATATGGCCTTAGAGACAGCCTTAAACTTTATTTATTCTCACATGAGGTCCCATTACCATGGGTAGCATTCTAGAACTTTTTGCTTCAAGTGGATGAATCACCTGTTTTGTTAGTGTCCTTTGGATCAATTCACTGGATAGTAGTTTGGAAAGGTAACCCAATTCATCTTTATTGTCACTGAAGATCAGTAATCACAAAGAGGAAATTTGGAGCTATGGGTTAGCAGATATTCCAAAGCAGTGGGCTAAGTAAGCAGGAATGAGGATGGGAAGCTTAAAGAGAGGTTCTCATTATTTATGCTGGGATCTCTTGAAATATGAGGATGCCTGGCTACTGAATCTGAAGACCTGGGTTTGAGCCATGGCTCTGAGACCACAGGTGAGTCATATTGTCTTTTGAGTCTCCATAGCCTCATGTGCAAAAGAAGCATGACGACAACAACTGTACACCAACTTCAAAACCTTACAGAAGCGTTCTGTAAACCCTAAAATACTAGAGCGATATGAGCGGTAGGAGCTGATGTCTAGTGTATAATCCGTTCTTACCCATAAAGAATGCTGATAGCTAAATTAAAGATTAGAGAACATATATTTAAGTCATGCTCCGATGATTATTTCAACATGAGAATACAAGATGGTCTATAAAGTCTCTTCTAAACTTCAAAGTTATAATGAAAACTGAAATCATATTAAAAGAAAAAAAAGGCTTTGATTTTTTTGACCGATTTTGTCTCCTAACCAGGGAGCCTCTGGCTTAAAATAAAAATAAATAAAATAAAATAAAATTTAAAATTAAAATAAAATAAAATTTAAAATTAAAATTAAAAGGAAAATGAAATAATATGGCTCATAATCATTTGGAGAAATGTTAACTTAGCTATGGCCTAATTTGTTAAATCAGAATTTCCCTGTCAAAAATGAACCTTGACTAAAATCAGAACTACATCTAGAGAGATATCTTCCTCAAGCAGTCCACAAGTTCTGGATAGGCCTATATAAAAGAGAACTACTCTGTATTAAAGATATGTCTGCATTTGTAATTTAGAAGAGAAACTGATCCTTTCTGTTCAGTTTTTGGAAAGGGTTACAGTGTGTCCACAGCTGGTCACCAACTCTACAGAACAGAATATTTATAGGCTAGTGATGCATCTCCTAGTTTACCTGATGGCTTCTGAGTCAATGTGCACAGGTGCAATTCTTTCCAAAAGAAATTTGACCATCTCAAGGAAAGGATTAGTTGGCTGTTTGGGGTTTGCTAGTTTCCGGGCTATTTCTCTCTGTTAAAAGGAAACAGTCATGACATAAACATAAAGTCAAATAAGAACTTACCCTATACACCAAAAGCATTTATATCTATAATTCAAATTCAGCAATTATAACCATATAGAGTAAGTCCTTTACTAAATTTCTACTCTGACATGCATGTCCATCATGGTTGGAGGTAACCTTGGCAGGGGGTCTTAAAAAAAGTTTACCTACTATAATCACAATTAAAAGTCCAATAATTTCCTTAGAAGAACAGACAGTACAGTTGAATAAATGCAGAAAAAGTTATTTATATAATGGTCTTTTTTTCTAAAACTTTTAGCAATTTAAAATAAACAACTAAGGTTTTAAAGTCAGATCAGGACATGCATGGCTGGAGGCTGAAGATACCAGTATTTTAAAAACGTGTTTTGTTTGTTACTATGGAATCAATATAATTCTTGTATTGTTTTAAAGAATATATGGGTTTGTACATAAAACATATTTCAAAAAGTTATATTAAAGATAAGAACCATTTTTACACTGAAACTAGGCAAAAGGGATTATGCAATTTGGAACAAAAACATCTAGTATTCTTTGGAAATCAAGCAGTTTAAAAGCATAGAAGGCTCTGATTTAATTGTATCCCTAATAACATTTCACAAATTTAAGGTTTACTAGAAACTATAACTCCTAACTCCTAGTCTCATATTATTATTACTATTCTCATGTGATAGTTACAAATAGAATTTATACATTAGCTGTTGTAAAGTAAATGGATATATGTATGCATATCTAGTCTTTTTCCTCAAGGAACATAAATCTATTTCATTCTCTATAATATGAGAACTTGACAACCACTAACATCAAACGTCAAAAGCAACATATTTTACTTCTTTATACAAAATACCACAAACTGAACATATAAAATCTGCCCCCTCATATATTTCATCATCTCCATTCTGATAAAACAGATACTTTCCTGGAATTGATTCTCAACTTCAAAGGTACTATGTACAAAAGAGGTTTTTTGGAACCTGTATAAAATGAAGTTGGAGAATGGAATTGAATATACTCCTTTAGCTTTAGCTCAAGTCTTTCCATGGGGAATTTGCTTATTAAGATGTACTACCCTTTTTTCCCATTAGGATACAAAAAAATTTAAACTAAAGGAGAATAAGTATACATTTGCATAGTTTCTACAGGTTGGGATATGTGAAGGGACCAAGGGAATATTTTGTCTTCTCCTAGATCTCCTTATACTAGTCAGTTATTTTGTGTCTTTCTTTCTTTTCCTTGGCTACAGTAGCAGAAAGACAGCTGTACTTTAAATGAGACATCAGAGTTCAAATCCCACTGATGCGAACCAGATATGTGGCATCAAGGAAACATAACCGAACATCAGTTACAATTCCATCTAGATTTACAATATTCTACTTACAAAATAGGAGTGTTGGAAAGAAGGTTATGGAAATTGGAAATATTATTATCTAATGGTGAAGAGTATTAATAATTGCCAAGCAATAGGCCTGGGAAGTGGACAAAATATTAAGCACCAGAAAGTATAATACAAGTACAAGACTACAGGGAGACACCAGAGTTGTGATGGCAAAGTGAGCTATGAATACAGCAACTTTCAATTACTTCTTTTCCACAAACATGAAATTTAAAAGGAAACCCTAAATATAAGCACCAGATTTCCATCCCTCTGTATTTGCTATTGTCAATGTCCTGGCACACACTGGTCCCTTCTTACATAGTCTCATTTAAAATATTTTCACGAGATGTAGTATTTCTCAGGAAGGGAACTAGAAGAAAGGTACACAAGAGTGTCTGGCAAGATATGTTCTTATGAACTTTGCTGCTGATTATTGTGTAATTGAGCCATTCCCATATGCCAACAATCTGTGATCTCACTAACATGAGTATTCCTTATAATTCAAATTTCAACCATTTCTGGAATTCTTATCTGTGTCCTTCCAATAAGATCATATATAGGAGGGTCACCCAATATCAGGTGTGTTCCTTGAATTCTTTTGATATCATCATAAAGATACCTTTGTCACACATAAGCTGTCCAATAGTTACACTTTGCTTTTGTGGAACACATGAGCAGCATATTTTCATTTTTTGTAATATATTTCTCTGATGCTATCATTTAAACCACTTCTCCTTCATGATTCCTTCAGTGCACCGTATTAACACCCAGCTCATGCCCATCATGTACCTCTTGATTGCCTTTTGGGTTATCCTCAAGGCAGCATGCAGTTGTGGATATGACAGTGGACTTGGAGTCAGTAAGAACTGGATTCAAATCCAGCTTCATACACTCAAAATCTATTTGGCCCTAGGTAACTTGACTTAACTTCCCTGGGCTGGCCTAAGTTTTCTCATCTGGAAAATGATCGCGCCAGACTCAAAGGTTTCTACAGTAGGAGCAACATCCCAACCCCTCTGTCCATGCAAGTTAGGCTGGCTTTATTTTAAAAGGTATTGAGACATTACTTGAGACTTGGTTGGCTCAGGGGACTGAAGGCTCAAACTGCTGTCACTGCTTTTTCATCACCCAAGTACAAAGCATCCCAAAGAAGTTCCAGGGGCTCTGGAGGCTTGGCAGGTGGATAGCAATGAGTAAGTCAGGCAAGCTTTGTTATGCTGAGTCAGCTCAAGGTGTCCCTGATGCCTATCCTTCTACTGTTATAGTTAAGTAAATCTCTTTTCTGTTAACTGTTAACTGTTAAGTGTACAGTATTTAACCTAAATTAGTAAGGTACTTCCTTGAGTGCAGTTCAGCCTAGAACAGCCTCAAAGTTCTCTTCCTGATCTAAATCTATGATGGTATGATATGAAGAATGTCTACTGTGATAATGTATATTTGTGTATGTCTCTTGTCCCTTGATTAATGTAGAATTAAGGGAAAATAGCACGTAAAGCATCTCTGACCATGCATTCGTGTGATCTTGACTATAAGTGGGAGAACATAAGGTATTCAGGACACCAAAATGATAAATTTATCCAACAGTAAATTGCTTCTTCTTCTTCTTTTCCCACTGAAATGCTTTGGTCCTTAATGCTTAACAACAACAACAACAAGTTGCAGAGATACAGAAACTAAGAACTCTAGAGTCCAGGGCCATAGTTCAACATCTTATTTTCTCAAAGAATCTTGGGAGAGGTACTGAAATAACTCCAGAGAAGCTAGTTACTGGCAGAATTAGGAATAATACTAATGTACAATGCTTTTGCCATTGACTACATTGTTTTGCCACTGTCCTTATATCACTGCTTCCATTCTGAGAGCTTACTAAATGGATATGCTCTCTGTGGTTCTACTAGTCAGTCACCCTGAAAATTTTCATTAATTAAAAAAGAGTTTAGGCACAAAGTGGGCTTCTGCTTTGCATCTGAATTTAGGATTTGGAAATTTGTAGATTACTGGCCTCATTCTAAGTAGAATTATCCTCTGGTGTCCTCTTTCCATCAATCATACCTCTATTTATCTCACCTTCAGCATACATCTGAGTCTTCTTTCTTTGCCTCCCTATTCTTTCCAAATCTCCCTGTAAGTACTAGTTACAGTTTTGGGATATGTTGTTGTGATCTTCCCTGGAGCTGGTCCCTGGAGACATCTGGAAAGTGTATCAATTTTAAAATGTTTTCGACAAATCACCAAACTGGGTTTTTGTCAGAGACTTAAAAATCAAACTGAACAGCTTCACGCCTGTAACCAGAGTAACTTCAACCAAGAACAATTCTATATCTACAATAACCAAATAAAAAAGGATTCAAGGGCAGTACTCAGAAATAGTTATGACACTATCATAACACTTTTATACAGCACTTGGGTTTTCAAAGGGCTTTCCTCACAACAACCCTGACTCTATCATCCTCTGAAAATTCTAGTCTTCCTCACTTGTCAATCCTTTCTAATAGACATTACAATTTATCCCTCAACCCAACTGCCCTTTCCAGTGTCACCAATGATTGCTAATGACTTTTTAAAAGTCCTCATTCTCCTTGACTTCTACAGCATTTGCTAGTTTATTATCTATACCACATCTCTGAACTGTGAGTGTTCCCTAAAGTTCTGTCCAGGAGCTCTGCTGTCCTGTCTATGTAACCACTCACTCAGTGACCTTATCCATTCTCATATATTTACTTATCCTTTCAATACAGACAATTCCCAAAACTATGTATTTACTTCCAGTTTTTCTCCTGAGCTCCAATCTCATATCTTTAACTGTCTATCCGACATTTCAAACTAAATGTCCTGAAGGCAACTCAAATTAAACATGAACTCATTTTCTCCCCCCCCCAAACTCCCCTCTCTTCCTAACTTCCCTATTTTGGTTGAGGGCACCACCATTTTCCAAGTCACCCATGTTTTCAGCCTAGGTGTCATCCTTGACTTTTCACTATCCCTCATGCCACATATCCTGTCACTTTACATGCACTGTCTCTCTTGAATTTCTCATTTCTCTGTCCCTTATCTCTCCATCCCTTGTTGCCTAGACCAGGGAAGGGGAACCTGTGGCCTCAAGGCCACAAGTGGCCCTCTAGGTCCTCAACTGTAGCCAAACTTCACAGAACAAATCTCCTTAATAAAAGGATTTGTTCTATAAAACCTGGATTCAGTAAAAAGGCCACATCCTCCCTACCCCAGCCTGGATTATAACACCCACTTCAGTGACTTGCCAGCCACAATTCTCTCACTTCCCATACACGTTATCCACAGCTACCAAGTAATGTTTATGAAGTACAGATATAATGCCACTCTGGTACCCGATCTGAATTGTCAGAGGAAATTTCCTCCCATAAAAGTTACTTATACCAATGAAACCACAGCAATATTCCCTATCCATATCTTTTATGTGAGTAACAAAACAGCCCATTCCGCGTTCACATCCACTCCTAGGACTCAGAAGCCTAGAATCTGTTGGAGCACCAGTAATGACAAAGGCCCCAGCTTATGAAATGTAATAACTCAGATAATTAGAGTTATATATTTACGTGATCACTGTAAGAAAATATTACATACAAGCGTTCCTAAGAAACAAACTTTTATGAATTGTTCTAGGTAAAGTTAAAGGTAAAAACAATATTGACTAACCACACAGACATCTGCCTGTTTACATGAACATGTAGGGCTGATCAGAAGTTCTAACTGAGACCGAAGTTTTTCATCATCGCCAAGGACCTGATTGAACTTTTTCACAAAATCTTGTGCTTTTCCAGGGTCAGGCAAATTCTCTATAAAATCAAATAAAATTCAAATATTGAATTAGTCACTAATGCAGGTTTGCAAACAAGCACCAATTTAAAAAAAATTCCCATATCCCTAGAATTGTATTGGTAATAAAATTATTGAAAAAAAGCATTATGCTTTTGTTTCTTTTCCTTAGATCGACAATCATCTCCAAGGAATAGGTGAGTGTTATATGCCTAATTACACTTAAAAATGTATTAAATGTTTTATTTTCCATTAGTATCACTATATTACTAATATTAATAGTGATCAACCAAGTAAATGGAAACACTTACTTGCTATGGTCATCAGCTTTCCAAACATGGCAGAACTGTTAGCTTCTGACTGAAATAAAACAAATAATCAGCTATATATATATCCAATAGATTTTCATGAGAAAAATAAAACACTCAATTTTGTTAATTCCTGAGAAAATGAAAGTGACTACCCCTGGGACAAAACATTAATACTGGTGTATAGACTCTAATCATCTACTTTTTAAGAGAAAATTCAAAGTGATGAAATGGAAAAGAATATAACAGTCACCTTTTTGTGACAGGTTCTAATTAAATGTTCCTAAAACACAATTTGGGGCAGCTAGATAGCTCAGTGGACAAAGCACCGGGCCTGGAGTCAGGGAGACCTGAGTTCAAATGTGACCTCAGACACTTACTAAATGTGTAACCCTGGGAAAGTCACTTAAGTTCTGTCTGCCTTAATCCACTGGAGAAGGAAATGGCAAACTAATCCAGTATCCTTGCCAAGAAAACCCCAGGAACAGTGTAGTCCATGGAGTCATGAAGAGTCAGACACAGCTAATGACTGAACAGCAACAAAAACACAATTACAATGGAGAAATAATGAGAATGGATTATGATGGTTAACTCAGGACACTTTGGAGATAGTCTTGGAAGACCAGAAAATGAAGAAGTTGAGAACAAGCAGTTAATTAACTTTCAAATAAATGACAACTTAAAAAGAAACAATATTTAAATCATAAAATAATTAGCAAAGCTTATTGCTCAACTACGTGCTACAGAAAACATGCAACACACTGGAAAGGAGAAAGAATTTCTCTTTTCCTCCAGCAGTCTTATTAACGTTCTACTTATAATTTCTATCCTCCCCCTCCAAAACGCTATGTATTTTGTTAATGTAATGAAAAACATATATTGCTTTTAAAGTGCTTACAATGTTACAACTGGAATCAGATGCTTTTAGAGTATTTTCTTAATAGAAAAAACCACCATCTGCTCTTTAGATAGAGCACTGTAGCACTTCTAAAATGGTGCAACAAAGTAGACTAACCTAGGGCCCAAGAAAGGTTAAATATATGAAACATATTATATATTATTCCTCTTCCTACACTTTACAACTCAAACTAACTGGCCTTGTCTTTGTCTACATACATAACGCTCCACTTCTTCTTTGTATACCTTTGTACTGGCAAAAAAAAATAACACCTCCCAATTTCACTCCATAGAATCCCTCTTTTCTATAAGATGGAATTCACCCATCACCTTATATAAGAGGCCCTTCCTGATCTATTGACAGCAGGTATTTGTCATGCATTTAAATACTTTGTATTTATATGTATGTAGTCTCTATATTTATTCTTTATGTACTTATTTACTTGTCTCTTTAATTACAATGTAATCTCCTTGAGGATAGGAATTTTCTTCATTCTTTGTATCTACATTTCCCTAGCAGTTTGCATATAACAGGCACTTAATACTTGCTGACTGATTCCAAAGGTAAGTTCAGTTATCTTCTACATTATTTTCATGTATAATATATTATAATATTTGAAAAGAGGAAATTCAGGAACGTTACACCTTAGCTTGCTAATTTAAATACCTGATTAGACAGAACACAGTATTTCTCTAAAAGTGTTTGTGTTGATTTAAAAAATATCTATTATAGAAACCATAATGCTTGAAATATGAGACAGCATGGTACAGTGGAAACAATGCTAGGTTTGGAGTGAGAGGACATGGGTCCAAATCTTGGCTTTGCCACCAGTTATCTTTCTATAATACCACTTCCAGCTCTGATTTTATGGCCTCATGATCTTCACTTCAGGAAAACAAAGATCTGAGAGGCGTCTTCTTCTTTCTATGAATATATGGATATACAATAACTGAATGACTTTTCACTAATAAAGGCGTGCTTGCCATGCCCCTCCCCACCTCCTAACCCTTTCACCAAACGAACTCACAGCCGGCTGTTTGTGCAAATCCAGTAACTCCCGCACGTGACTCCTGAGTAGATTCTGGCACTTCCACATTTCATTGAGTGCCCTGTAAACACAGGTTCAAATTGGGAAAAAGTGTGCTGCACCAAAACAAAGTTATCAAACTCTATCATCCTTCTCTGATAGGTATGTCTATCTCATAAATGTATCTACTTCTTTTAATCTTTCAAAAACCTGAAGCAACATCAAATTTGATTTATATTCACTCTACTTAAAGAATTCCTTCAAATGAAGTTTAATCAAAATAAGAATTTGGTAAATTATTCTCTTAAGAAATCAGTATTATAAATAGGACAACATCTAAATAAAGTCGTAAATTAGTGAGAGTTTGTTTTCAGTGTTCTTAGCCTCCTTGTTCTGAGCTATTTTCTGCCCTTTACTGAAACACTCTGGTGTTAGTACTACTGTATCATGTACTAGGTTCCACTGCAAATCTGATTTTATGTAATTCATCCATGAGTAAAAGATAAAGGCAATGTTTAAGTCTCCCGTGAGCATATGTATTTTAATGGTGATTAAAGTCTTACAATAAAAAGAAAAATTTCCAAGAGTAAAATTTTAGGCCTGAACCACTGAAAATCATGTAACGTCTATTTGGACCATGTCGCCTTCCCCCCAAATTACACTGTATAGGCTTACTCTGTTTATAATCACGGGCTATTACTGGTTATAAACTGATGTGCCAAACTTTGCAAAAACAGCAAATATTTAACTGATTTCACCAAATGAGCTATAAAAAGTAAATGTTTATTCAAAAGAAAGATGAAATAATTTCATAAAATGTTTCAAAGATACTCTATTTTATTATGAACTTACTTTACAGCATTTGGATCCAAGCTGGCATACAAATAATATAAACATTTCATTCTTTCTTCTGTTTCAAGATTGTGAGGGACAAGGTACTGAGCAAAGATTTTCTCTACCAACAATCTGTGAAAGGAAGAAATGAAATGAAATTACAATTCCGAACTTTCATAAAGAGTCACCGGATTTTTAAGGAACTTTTTCACACAGAGCCAACATGTCTGCTGGTGACTTCTATATCCACGTAAATGACTAATTCTTTCATCAAAATGACCATATCAATTGATTTACAGTTGTACTAGCATCTTGAAGAACCAGATGCTATTTGTGCTTTTTCTTCTCTCAGGAGATCAGTCATGCCACATTCTTTGAAGCTATACCTTGAGCTTTTGTACTCATTTTACTTCTCAGATTAGTAAGGCAAATCAATCCGATTTCAGTTCTTTTCCTAAGTGACTGTACAGTCTCAATGAGGATATTCCACTTAGTATTGCTGCATGAATTTATATTCGATCTGGTAGGCACTCTATCTCTGTAATTCTCCATAATACAATAAGCTTGTCTTTAATGCTATACCAATACCACTTTAGCCACCTTAGGTTATTCTATATTCAAGTTAATGAGAGTGGAAATCACGAATATTTCAGTGTAGATCAAATATTCTATCCCAAATGAGATTTCTATAACAGAATAACAAAAAAAAATCAGAGAAATTTCTGAATTAACTAGCTAATTTAATTATTAAAACAACAGTTTCACCAGGGGTGGTTGGTGCATGCCTTGTATTCCCTGCTACTAGGGAGACTGAGGCTGGTGGATCACTTGAGCTACAGTAGGGCTAAAGCTGATCAAGTATCTGCACTAAACTCTGGCACTCATATGGTCTGCTCTCAGGAAAAGAAGTCTACCAGGCTGGTTAAGCCTTGAAGTGCAAATTGGCCCAAGTTAGAAAAGAAACAGGTCAAAGCTTCCATGGGCAAGCCAGGAAAAGGAGAGAAAAGATAGTGGGAGGCGGAAAGGGAGAGAGAGGGGGAGACAGAGAGACAGAAAGGAAGGGGAGGGGGGAGGGGAAGAGAGAGGAGGAGAGAGAGAAATAATCAGTCTTCCACAGTGGAAGACAGAATAACATTTGGAAAATGAAGACTGCAGTGATTACCTCTTCTAAGGCTTTACTAGTTTATGGGGAAAGTAATATTCTTTTATCTAAACTCAAAGTATTTAAGTGAAGGAACATGGCTTTTTTTTTATTATCATGACAAATTTTAAATTTGAAAAATTTAGCCACTACTACTGTTTGATAAATCAACTTGCACTGGCTTAGCATTTTAATGATGAAAATACTTTTATATACCATTATGGGAAAACAGTAGACTCACTTGTCATCAATGCTGTTTTGATAATATATGTGCAAAAGTTTATCCTTTATCCAGCTCACTTTCTCAGCAGCTTCCCTTCCAGCTTCTGCATGAAGACAGTACTTCTTATAAAGTTGGGCAAGGCCCATCATAGCTTCTTTTCGAACTCTCCACTGGAAAAAAAAAATTTTCCTCGGTAAGTTTTAATTAAATATTACAAAGTATATTGACAAGAGGGGCAAATATTAAGTTGAAGGTGGCCTTAACAACAGATACTACGTAAAGGAACTATTCCCGTTTTCAGCAGCGAAAAGAAGAGTATATTTCCCCATAGGTTTTTTGAGACAGGCACAGAACCCCAGTGGAAACTCATAAATTATTTTAGGGTCACGCAACAGTGTTACACTAAAGGCTAGCTATAGTATACTAAACTGAACTAATCATCGATGTATATATATTCTACAAGGTGAACCTTCTACCTGATGACTAGTATCTAAATCAATGACATGACTAATTACTTTATAATCGACTGTTCTTTAATAATTTTGGGGGGAAAAACCCAACAACAATTTAGAAACCTATGTGATCAGATCATGCTAATGGTGACCAATGAAACAAATGTCCACACTGGGATAAATATTATTACATTATTTTATTATCTACCTTGGTGATATCATATTATAGAGAATTTTCCAGAGTATTTCAATCAATTCTATGGAAAAGAGGAAACAATATTCTATTTCAAATTTGTTGTGTCACTTTAAAGGGACACCTTTGACAAAGATTTATTACATTTTGCCGAGTTAAGTATGTCATACTCTTATACAACTGTAAGCTCTTTGAGGAAGGGGTCAGCTTCTCATTTTCAGTTGTGTATCAATTACATACAGCAAGAACTCAATAAAAAATTTGCTGAAGTAAAACGAAATCGCGACAAATCAACTGGGGTTCTGATCAAATGTTTAACCTACTCTATAAAAGAAAGGGCCATCATTTGAAGTGTATTAATCCTTTCCTACATTCTTTTGGAAAATATCTTTAAAAAATTTTTATGGAAGACATTTTGGTCATAAAATAATCAAAATTTACTACCAAGTGTACTAGAATAAGAGATGGAAGTAACTAATGCTTCATCTCCTACATAAAGTCTTTCCTGATCTTATTAGGTGCCAGTGACCCCCCCCAAAAAATTTCCTAGTTTAGCTTGGATTCTTATAGTCTAGCCATTGCTCACAGGTGCTCCGATTCCTTAAGATCTGGCCAGTATGGCAGATCTTTAATAAACCTTGTCTTTGGCTGAAAAAAGGCTTGGGTCAAATTCCAAACACAGCTAAGAATATTTTATCTTGTCATATCCAGGCCCTGCAGTTTTTTCTGTCAGATTTGTGTCTTCCCTGACCAGGAATAACTGCCAAATCCCAAATTCTTGTCCAGCCAAGACTGCAAGGTACATGAGCCTTCCCGTCTCCCTAATTCCTTTCTTGCTCTGTGGTTGGGAGGTGATTTCCAAGCACCTAGCAAGGCTTGGCTTGGAAGTGTCTTTTGAGCCTGAACTCTCAGGTACAGTTTCTATGATTTTTTCTTCCTTTCCCTTCCCACCACCAAAAGCATACTTGCTTTAATTAAAAATAAAATAAAAACGCAACTACCTAGTTCATATTGCCTATGTACGCACACACATATGTGTCCTCAAATAGGAGAAAATCACTTTAGGGGCAAGAACAATTTCAATTTGTTTTTCAATCTCCAGCACTTTACTGCCTGGCATGCAATAAGTATTTAATAAATGCTTGCTGATCATGTAGTTCAGCTTACATTAATACAAACAGATGACATTTATAGTGTTTTAAAGTTTACAAGTCATTTTACACATTATCTCATTTGATCTTGATAGGAACCTTTATTTCCATTTTACAAATTAAGAAACTGAGGCTCAAAAGAGGTTCAATAACTTGCTTAAGGTCATAAAACTACTAAGGGTCAGAGGAAGAATCTGAAGCCAGGGCTTTCCTGAGTCCAGTTCTCTATGCACTATCCCATGCTACTTCTCTATAGATGAAGGAACTGAGATCAATAATAAATACAGAATACGCTATGACACCAAGCTGGTTAGTAGCAGAGCCAAGAACAGAATTCTTGTCTTAACTGCCAATCTATACTTAAGAAAATATCTTTAAAATTAAAAGAAGCAGAGCTAAAATATTTTCCAACTAGGGAGAAACTACAAATAACTGCATTATCCTAAGTCATAGAAGTAGTCTTTATTCTTTAGAAAAATCCACTGAATAAACCTGTCCAATCTAACCACTAGGTAGAGTGTCATATGTTATTTAAAACCAAGGAAGAAGTATAATGGTACATGCAATTGAACAAGTTTTTTGCTGTTGTTCAGTTGTTTTAGTCATGTCTGACTCTCCATGACCCACTCTGGGTTTTTCTTGGCAAAGATACTGGAGTGATTAGCCATTTCCTTCTCCAGCTGATTTATAGATAAGGAGCAGAAGTGAACAAGGTTAAGTGACTTGCTCAGGGTCACAAAGCTACTAATAGTTATATTCTTGAGATTAAAAAATTGGCTTTTTTACTCTTAAATTGTAATTATATCATTTTGGCCCTTGAGGGCTCATCAAACCACACTAAAATCATTAACTGCAATTCCTTAGTTTAAAACTTCTGATATCTATGCCAGGGACATGCTAGCTATTTTGCCTTGCATGTGATTTTCTTGATTTTCTTAGCTACCTACATTATTTCTATGTGCTGTCACTAAAGTTTCCTATATTATATACCCGTACTTCCAACTCAGTGTGCCACGTGTAGAGCAATTACTTGCTTGACATTAGAAAAAGTATCTTAGCCTATTATTTCTCAATTTAGCTTAGTAATGTACAAACATAAGCTGCTTCATGAGATTTTAGAAAGTATAATGTTCCTTCCTTCGCTGAATCAAGAACTTAGCAATTGGATAGGATACTTCTGAACATTTTCTTCATAAAAAGGAAATCCAGAGTGTAAATTATTATTCTATAATTTCACCAAAAGGTAGATAGGTAAAGCAAAAGCATAGTTCACTGATTTAGCTACTGGTTGTTAGTTTTTTATAAAGGTTGATTAAAGAGAGGAAACCAAATGAAATCTTCATAATGCCTCAACCCATTACCTAAAAATAATCAAGAGTAGCTCCAGAGAAAATTTTGTATTCATTATATTCTTAGAGACATCTTAAAATTCAACTTAATTAAATATAAAATGTATTAAATAATTCTTAAAAACATGAATCTTTTTCTATTCAATATTCTGTTTAAGATCTATACAAATGATAAAATACAAAGATTAAAAATTGTAAAAGCTCTACCCGTTTGTCCAATGTTCTTTCCCTCACAAAGCCAAGTAACTGATCATTAACTAAAGAAAGGTCTCTTTTGCCAGCTGTTATTATAGTAACAATGACATCATGACGAATAGCTTCTTCTGGATCATGAGACCTAACCTTCAAGTATTCTGTTACAAGAGAAGGAAAAAATGTTAATCAAGAAAGTAGATAGGTATTTAAAAAAAAAGATTAAGCTTAAATTATTAAATAAATACTAAAAGGCCAGAGCATTAAGCTTTATTTCTATTATTGAGATGTTTTCAGAAAACATACAAGTGAAAATACATTTTTTGGAGGTAAACACTTAATTTAGTATGCTAGGTACTTAAATATAAAACTAAACAATATTGTGATTATAAAGTACCCAAATTATCAATAACAAAATAATGAAAATAATTTCAAAAGGGCCTTTCTTTTCAACAATAAATATCACAACACAGAATTTCATTAATAAACATAGAATTTCTCTTACCTGGAAATGAAGCTATGGATTAAAGATATAGTCTTTTCAAATAACCTATAACCTTACTATAAATAGTTAACATTAAAATATTTCAATACCTTTATTACTCAATTTAAAAATGTATAATTCTTTTCTGAGGTACTTAAAAAAAGAAAACCCTCTCTAACGCACATGAAATTAAATTAGATAAAAATTGTCTTGTGTCTAATTTGATTAGAGGTAAATTAAAAGCTTTTGGCAAATAGCCTCTAGCTATGAATAAACAAAATTCATACAAGGCAAGGGATAAAAAGTGTTGAAGAGTTCCAATGCCACAGTGTCCAATCACCACAGTACCAAACTAAATCCACTGGCCTGGATAAGCGAATGGAAAAGGAAAAAGGAAAATGTGTACCACAACTCAATACACAGCTCCCAAAACATAAAATTATTAGAATTATATTCAAATCATTTAAACAAAAATATCCATTAGAATTTCATTTGTATAAAGTCAGAGATGTGTAACATTCAATAGCTACCTGAAAATTGGTAAGATCTATCCATAAATTAATGAAAAGTCTTATATACTCCTTAAATTTACAAGAACATTTACCCCAATGTTGCTTATTTTAAATTCCCTATCTTACCTGTAAGGTCCTTTGCTAAGTCTGGGTGATTCATTAAACAGTGACTGGCAAATTTCACACTTTCTAACCTCACTGGAACATGAATGTCATTAAATCTACAAGGAGGAAATTGTTAAAGATTAATTCTTAGTAGATAGGTTTTCTTTCCACAAAAGATAAAAATATGCAAAATGTTTCATAAATCAATTAATGACTAGAAAGCTTGTGGATCATAAGTTTCACTACGATATAAACTTTAGAATGAATGTTTTAAGTATTTGAATAAAAAGCATTTGCTTATGAAAAAGTCAACAGTTACACAACAATAAATTATTTTTTTAAAAAAGTTTTATCAGTGCATTTTGCTTATATAGTACAACAATTTTATACTTCTTGAATGACTCTACCCTTTGAAACAAGAAAAAGTCAACAACAGCAACTAACACAGTGATCACATACTGACATTTGATACTGGTGGACCCTTACATCTCCACTGTAAGAAAAGAAGCTTATTTTAATCATCTGTATTTTGAGTACTGTTCAATAAGTAAGTCAGAGTTAAGCTACCTTTGGTGTTTTTTTTTTTCGTTTTCATTATTGTATTAATTTTTGAGTAATTAATCAGCTGGTTCTGCTTACTTCACTCGTTAACAGTCTTTTAAAAGATCTGACTTAAGAACCCTTTAAAAAAATAATAAATAATACTAGATTACCTTTGCTAAAGTTTTGGAATTTTTTGAAGTAACACTAGATAAAGTTTAAAATGACATTTTATGTTTTTCTCAATATCATGCTTCATGAAAGCCTCTTTAAAAACTAAAAAATTGATAAATGCAATGATAAACCAAGTTTAAGACACAGGGGATTAAAGTTGAATCATGCCACCCAACTCTTGCCAAAGAAGTGATAAGACTTAAAATCTATAATGAAACATGCATAACTGGACATGGCTAATGAAGGGATTTGAATTACTAAACTATGCATATTTAGGGTGAAGATTTAAAAAAAAGTTCTACTGGGGGAACAGTGGGAAAGACATAATAAAAGCTCGTAAAATAAATTTAAATAAACAAAAAGGAGAATAAATTAAGGCAAATAAATCCCACACATACAGTGATACAGAGATAAATATAGGTACATAGAGACACAGAAACAGATTTTAATTGGTTTATGTACTTTGGGCAAAATGGTTCATCCTGTTTTAGAATATTAATCCCAAATAGCAAGACCAATTTGTATTTTAACTTTTTTAAATGTCTGAGTTCATTGGATGTGCTTAATACATATGAAAAAAGAAATAAATACAAAAATATATATTGATCTCACTCTTGAACTATATTGCAAAAGACTTCTGTTTGAACTTCCTGCCTTCAAGTCTCTCCCCACAGTCAGTTAATTCTTCAAGTGCTATCAAAGTGATCTTTTCCTAAAATACAGGACTATCTTGACCATGCCACTCACGCATTAAATAGCTTCCTAATACTTCTAGGATGAAATTAAAATCCTCTGTTGGGGTTTTAAAGCCTATGATAACCTAGACAGTTCCTCCTTTTCCAATCTTGTGACATTTTATTTCTCTCTATGCATTCTACCTTCAAGTGATACTATCCTCCTTTGTTGTTCCTTACGCAAGACACTCCATCTCCCAAGTCACTGAATTTTCACTGGCTGTCCACCTGGTTTAGAATGCTCTCCCTTCTTGTCTCTACCTTCTAGATTCCCTAAAATCTCAGCAAAAATCTCACATTGTTCAAGAAATTTATCCATCCTGGTCTCCCTTATTACTAATACTAATGCCTTCTTTCTGAGAGCAATTTTATCCTATATACATTTTTTTGTTCATACATAATTGTTTACATGTTGTCTTTCTTATCAGAATGTGAGCTCCTTGAGTTCAAGGGATGGGTTTTGCCTTCCTTTGTATCCTCACTGCTTAGCATAGTAAGTACTTAATAAACATTTTTGGAAGGAATGATTGACTAAATTTAATTCTACTCCTTCTATTTTTAAATCATTACCAAACATTTTCTGTTTCTTTATATCAGGAATTATAAAAAATGACAAAGTAAAACTGCAAGTACTTTTTATTTGAGAAAAAAAATGTGTTAGAGATTTACCTGGCCAAATAATGATATATAATAATTATTTCTGGCAGCAAGGAAATTGTCACTATTTTAATTTATTAAGAGACCTAATGAATTGACAAATATTAATTTAATAAAAACAATAAAGTAGGAATCCCTTATAGTCCAACATAATAAATCCATATTTATGTGATTGAGCAATGTCACATGAAATGTGGTAAAACTGATCTAAATACACTGAAATTAAAATAATGGAAACAGAAATGGCAGAGGTACATATTTGCTTTTACTCAACTGGAAACAGACCATGGCAGTTAAGGAAGACTGTGATATGACACCTTATTCAGGATTTACAAAAGACATGGTTGATGACTGGGGTATTTTTCCTTGGGTATTTGCATATAAGTAACTGGGGTTAAACCATAGTGATGGAGAAGTTATTCTTGAGAAACCTATCAGTCTAACCTAAGATACAGCTGACACACAGTACGGTATAACAATAACTATTCAAGATTAAAATACAAATAAAAAAAAGTTTTTATTTTTCCATGAAGTTTTGAAGCCAAGGAAGCATTTAAATAGAAGATATGACATCATTTAATAACTTACTTTTTCTAGCTTTATGAAAACACAAAGTGGGGAAGAACCTTATTAAGATGATAGAGACTTGTCATTCAAAGTCCTTTAGAAAAATTGTAAATTGCAAACTAAGTATGACTAGAAAACCAATGATCATTGTACATGAAAGTCTGATTATGCTGAAAAAGTCTCGTCATGGGATCAGAGAATGACAGGCTCATAGATCTGGAGCTAGAAGGGTAATGAGAGGCCACCTAGGCCAAGGCCTTCACTGTTACAGGCCCGTGATAAACTATGGGTCAGGGGCAGGATGGGAAAGCAGGTATGCCTGACTCCAAGTTCAGCAACTGATACACTGTTCCACAGGGCACATTCAGTCGTACCACTAGATCCAAAACAGTGAACCCAGACACAGCCACTGATACATGAAGAAGTTGCTATACTAATGTCTCTTAGATAAATTATTTTAAACAATGACCATTATAGATTCAGTTACAGGAATTGATTAAAAACCTAAATGAGGGATTGTGAACATCCCCAAACACTGCTGACTATCGATGCTCTACAAAGGTAACACTATTTGAGGGTTAATTAGGTAGCCTTCAAAACGTGAAATTCAGAATTCATGATGTCTTCTCTTACCTTCCAAGAAAACACTGCCAAAGAGGCCGATTCTGTGTTGCCAAATCAGAATCTTTAGAACCAAACAATTTAGCTAGCAATCGAACCACAGCTAAACGCTCTTCTCCATCATTGCTCTAAAAAGAGAAAAAGAACAAATGAATAATGCAATTCGTCAAATGATAGGAAATCCCGAGGTGAAAACCACCCACTCACTAAACAGCAACTTCATATTCCTGCTAATTACAGTGAAAACCACAAAATTATTTAATCATTTTTGTTTTCTTTTACTACTGGCATCGGGAAAGAACACTAGACTACAAATCAGTAGATTACCTTTGGCCAAATCACTTCACTACCTATCGTTGCCTTTCACATATATAAAATTAGGGCTTAGCTCTAGGATTCTCAAACCCTTGGCTATACTTCTGATTCTTGAAGGACTAATTTTTCCTAGTTGGGAATTATTCAGTCCTTTGTCTTCTCCCTTCTATTGCCCTTAGAAGTACTGGAAAGAAGGGAGAGGAATCTGTTTCACTGCTTATTTATAGCCCCCAAAAGGCAATGCAGCATGATGGAAAAGAAGCTAGTCTCAAAGCCAATTATCTGGGTTTAAGTCCCACCTTTGACAAATAAAGGCTATGTCGAGTTGCTTAATCTTTCAATGATCTAGGCAACTTTACAATTTCCAGTTATATAGAGGGTCTCAATCTATATTTGTAGAGAGTTTCCTCATCAGGGAGTTCCCTATATCAACAAAATCACAGGTCCAATCTCTACCACTATTAGTCTATTAGTCCTATCAAAGGACAAGGCAGTGAAAGAATTTCAAAACTCACTTAATAGCAACCTTTGTAAAGACACGACAGAGAAAATGGAAAGTGAGTCTTTTATTTGATACTTCATTGCATTTATGACTTCATTAATTCCTGCCAATATATCACACACACACACACACCCACACACACACACCCCCACACCCACACCAAAACTCATCCATGCCTTCTGATGCTATTTCTTGTCCATGTCCTATAATTAAGAGCTTCACCTAACATTTTAGGATGCTTTTTCATGCTGTTTCTTACTATTGTGTAGATATCAATGAAGCACACAGGCTATCAATAAGCTATCCATTGCTTTTTAACCATCTTTTATAATCGTGTTGCCCCAATAATATTCTGAGAAATTCTGTTGGCAAAATATTGTAGCTGAATCATGCCTACAATATGTCCTTGCAACTTTAATTCTTGATGAAACCCTAATTATATTAATATAAAATAATATCATTTAGTTTCAAAGAAGTACAATTTAAGTGTCAGAGAAACCAACACACATTAAGTTCTCACCTGTACATGCGTATATGTATTTATAAATTAACTGTCTCCTGAGCTCACTATGATAAAGCATAAATGATCCAGGAAAATTAATTTTAGCAGCAGACAATGTAGTAAAGGATCTCCTATTCACAATGCAAAATGCTTAATGGAGTTAAAAGGCAGGAAAACTCAGTTGAAGGCAGGCTATTTATTGGCTTCCTGTGTTATTCTACTGGAGGTTTGGGGGGAGGGGGGGAAAGCAGGAAAGGGTCAACTTATGATTTCAAAGGCATAGGGAACATGCACTGAGAAAACTCCTTGTATCAATGCAAATTGACAAATACTGTGTAATTCCTGGTCTTAAAGAGATGTTTGTAGTACTGAGGGTTAAGTTACTAACAAAGTCAAAGAGCCAGTATGTATCAGAATCAGGATTTAAAACCAGGTCTTCCGGACTTGGGACAGCTTTATTATTATGCTATTATTATGCCAAAGCTGCCTTTCCAGTCAATCTATACAATAAGACAACTGAGCTCCAGGCTCATTGGTGATTTGTTTTTACTTTCATATAGCATTGCAATTAGGCTTGGATGCTGGAAGATATTAAAAAGTAAAAATGCCTTGATTCTCTGAGAAAACTAGCTCAGTATCCAAAAGTATTTATTCAATGCCTAAATGTAGTGATCACATTCATATTTCAGTGCAGGTTGGAAACAACATTGGAATCTAAAAACTAGCATAATACAGAGAAATAGTTATGCATAAATGACAGAAGAAAAAGAAACATTTAAAACAAATTTTTACTTGCAGTTTTTTGCTTTTCAAAAACTTTTACCTTTATATTACTAGCAAGTCACTGTAACAGCCTCTGCCCTGAAGGAACTTACATTTCACTGGACTGATACAGCATTGAGAGAGCTCAAAAATACTGTGTGGTGCTTTGAAGAAGGCAAATGTTTCTGAGAGGGAGAAGGGAGGTGGGAGTGCATCATAAGGGATAAGGACAATGTACACAAAGGCACAGAAATGTTCAGTGTCAAATTTGTGGAACAGCCACTCGTTCAGTTTGATGGAATGTAGAATACAGAAAGAGTGATGTGAAATGAGTCAGCCAACACCAGCTAGAGACAGAATGTGGGGATTAAATGCCAAACTGACAAATCAGGATATTACCTACAGGTAAGAGCAAGTCACTGAGAATTCCTGGGCAAGTGAATAATATAGTCAATCTTTTCTTTCTGAAGGTTTTGGTCCCTATAGGGAAGACGGATTGGAGAAAGGAAAGAATGGAAACAGAGTGAATAATGAGGTAATAAAAGCCTGATCTAGGTGGCCATGAGAATAGAGAGAAAAGGGTAGATGTGAGGGATGTTGTGGTCAATGACCAAGACTATATATGGGAGTGAAGGTAGTCACCCCGAGATTGACTGGATAGATGGTGGTATCTTCAAGAGAAAGTCTGCAGAACAAAGTAATGCACTTGGACCTGACTGAGATATTGAAGGTATATACAGATCAAAATGTCCAAAAGACAACTGGTGATGATATCGAAGCACAGAGAGCCCATGGAGCTGATGAGATCATCAAAACGAGAGGGTGGAGATTACCAACAAAGAAGAGTGAAAAAGTAACAGTAAGATGGGTAGGATACTCAAGAGTGAGCAGCAAAGTGTGGTCAATACCATCAAAGAATATAAGAATAAAGAAGGATGAAAACAAAGAAGAGGCTATCAAAATTAACAATAACAGCATATTATTACCAATCTTTCAATGGGAACAGTTTCAGTGAAATGAAACCAGATTGCGAGGGGGTGAGAAGGAAGGGAAAGAGAAAGAATTTGAAGCACCATAACAAGAACAAAACCCGAGTATTCTCATGTTGCAGTATATTTAATACTGAATGTTATTTATGTGTCTATTTTGGAGGTGATAATATTGCTTACATGAAAGGCACTGTACAAAGCACTTTATAATTTTCTCATTTTGGTCCTCGCAACAACCCTGGGAGGTAGGTGTTATCCCCATTTTACAGATCCTCATTTACAGATGAGGAAACTGAGACAAACAAAAGTTAAATGACTTGCCAAGCAAGACACAGCTAGTATGTGTCTGAGGTTAAATTTGAACTGAAGTCTTCCTGACTTTAGGCCTAGTGCTCTGGGTGGTCATAGTGGCAGTATGGTGCCACCTAGCTGTGGATGAAGAGGCAGTGTAGTATAGAAAAATGAGGAATAAATAGCTCTGGAGTTAAAGACTTGAGTTCAAATCCCAACCACCAAATGATCTTGGGTAAATCACTTAATATCTTAGGCCCTCAGTTTCCTCATTTGTAAATTAAGAGGGTTGAACTAGATATACCCTCTAAGATTCCTTCCAAATCTAAATTTATGAACCTATAATGAAAGATGAATAAGTACATAATTTTAATCTTTTAAAAATATTATAAACTTAATAACCATCAAGACAAATTTCTAATCAAACATAAAATAAGCAATAAAACAGTGTATGAGACATACAACATTTAAGAGTAGAATCAAAGAAATTAAAGAAGCAAAAATGGAAATTACTGTGTCTCTAAGCTTATATAAAATCTTCCTGTATTTGGTTTTGTATTTTTTATATATATATATGTATGTATATACATACACACACACACATATATATATGTATGTATGTATGTATATAGACATCTATATCTACATTATATTTGCAGTTGAGAGAACCTGCTGATCTTAAATTGCATCACTTCATACAGGTCTTTCCATTTCCCAAGAGATAAGTAAGTGATCAAGAGACACATTAAAAAGTTCTCAGAAGAATGGAAAACTATTAATAGCTATATGAAACAATATTCCAAAAATAACTAATATTAAGAGAAATGCAAATCACAACAACTCAGAGGTTTTACCTTGCACCCAGCAAATTGGCAAAGATGTCAAGAGATGGGAACAGTCACTATTGGAGGGGTTGTAGAAAGAGTCACACTAATGCATTGTTGAAGCTAGAATTTGGTCCAATCATTCTGGAAAGGACATCTGAAATAATGCAAAAAAAAAGTGCTTATAGTATTTTTTCTTTGGTCTGGAAGGTTTGGATTTTGGCTAGCATGTTCCTGGGACTTTTCATTTTGGAGTTTCTTTCAGGAAGTGACTGGTGGATTCTTTCTATTTCCACTCTGCTACTAAAAGATTTGGGCAGTTTTCTTTTAAGATTTCTTCATGTCTAGCCTCTTTTTTTTTTTTGGTCATGATGTTTACAGAGGCCAGGGATTCTTAATTTTTTTCTCCTTGATTTGTTTTTCAGATCAGTTGCTTTTGCCATGAGATGCCTTACATTTTCTTCTAATTTTTTTTTCAGTCTTTTGACTTTGATTTAATATCTCTTGTCTCATGAAGTCATTGCCTTCTAATCAGTCAGTTATGGTTTTCATTGTTTATTGCTTGAACAAGGTGTTATACCTCTCATGCCAAGCTGTTAACTTCCTTTATCAATTCTTTCCTGCATGGCTCTTATTTCTTTCCAATTTTTTCTTCATGCGCTTTCATTTCATTTATAAAAATATTTTTAAAATCTTTTAAAAAAACCCTCTTTGCTTCATCTTTTCCAGGAATTCTAGTTGAATTTGTTGTCAAGCTGTGGTTTTTCTGAGGCATTGCATGTAGATGTTTTGGAGTTATTCTCTTCTTCTGCATTTGTGCCTTGAGCATCCTTGTCATCCTAATAGCTCTTTATGAAGTGGTTCTTTTTTTGTTTGCTCATTCTTCCAAGTGACTTCCTGATTTTGTTCCTGAAGTTAGGGGCTGGGTTCTGGAGCACTGTTG